AACAATAACCGATTTCAGCTAAAGGGTACTTTCTCAAAGACTTCATATCAATTCTAAAAGATAAGGATATCAATTCTTAATACTTGATAACTTCATTCACACGCTTCCTAGACCGACCAGAATTGATTCATCCCCCCTACTATTCCTGAGTATATAACCCCTATCCTTCTAAGACCAAATCACTCATGTAGTTGCATTCTTGAGTCATACTCTTCACTGTAGGAGACCTGGAGTGAACGCGTGTAGTCAACTCATATATCCATATTATATTACTCTGTATTTTAGATGCCATTTGCAACATTATGAATAAAGGCATTATTTATAAAGTCTCCACTACTTCCAATTCGTTAACTGATGAAGAAGGAAGAAGGTTGGACGTATCGAAAGGACTGAGCAGGTAGCAACAGCTGGAGAAGGACGCTGGAGAGAAGAGAAGGCATTCTAGGCCGGGACAGGTAGAAACGAGGTTGTCAGAAGAGAGGAGAAGACCTGAGGATGGCACAAGGAGGAGAGATGACATTACCTGAGATGAGAGAGGCAAGACAGTGAAGACCAAGAATATCAAGCCTACAGTTATAAGACTTATTACAGTTGTAAAATAAATTGTTTTGTTGGAGTGAAAAGTCATTTATTTATTTAGTTGTCCCATAGGCCGCACAACTGAAGAATAACAAACCTGGTGAGTCAATTCATTGTGTATTTACTAAGTCCCACATTTCATATATATATATTCTTATTGTTTCTCCTCACTCAGCGTCACAAATGTATTAGATTCCCAACAACAGTTAAACACCCTCAAATAGTCTACATCCAGTGCCGGGGTTTTGTTTTAATATTAACGAGTGTAAATAACCTAGTTCACCGATAAAAGCGGAAGGCTATTCGCAATTCCCGCCAAAACAAATTATTTACAAATAAAATTTAACTGGTTATTTACAAGGCTTTTTGGTTTTAAAGGGTCGGTAAAGGTATAAACCATAAAATATTCAGAAAATCTAACTGAAGAAATGGAAGCGCTTCATATAGCCCAGTAACCTTGGTTTAAGTTGTATTGGAATAAACATTTACTCCACTGAATCATATAAGACAAGTCATTGAAGATATAAAGACAATTGCATATGATAAAACATGAAAAATAGCTTAAAATGTTGAAGTTCAACAAATTTCCAAAACTTTGAAAACCTCTATCCCAAAAACTATTCAGTTTACCGAGCCTATTATGGTCTTAAATTGTAGCATATTTGATCTAGTTTAAGAATGATAATAATATAGAATGTTTTTTTTGGTCAAAAACGTGCTCCTCCATAGTTATAATCGAAACAAGTGTGAAAAATGAGCAGATTTTGGAATATTCAAAAGTGATTGGGGGGAGGGAGCGCCGAAGTCGAAAACTTGGATTTTGCATCTCAGTCTCATCCCATACAAGAAAATAAAAATAAACCTTCTACCCCCATTCAATTCAACTTACGATGTACAAGGTTACTGGGCTAATATTGCCTGGATAATTTACTATTGAGCTGAAATTCTTAAAGAAATAAGAAACACCACAAACAATTTATAATCGAAATCCTAGAAGATTCTGACTTGATTGCAGAGGGTACTTATTTCGTATTTATTCACGATTGGTATACAATCAAGATTGTTGCTGGTGGTCAGTAACAATTTTTCGTATCTCGATCATTGTAATCGTGAAAAGTCATGTCAAACTATTGCAATCTAAATGTTATTTTTTTTTTAATATATCAAAGTTTTACTTATCAGCTCGAGTCATGTATTTGAAGCGTTTTTTATTTTTTAAATGTCGATGGTTCAAGAATTAAAATAAGTTTAATTTAATGTACAAAATAAATTTAACAAAGCATGTAATCCGTGTTACACACCAGTTTTTATCAAATTAGTAAATAATTCTCGTCGTAACCTATAATTTTTTTATTTACGAAAATTCTCGAAATTGAGGCCTTGTTCCCACCTAAAAAAATAGAACATAATATAATACGATCTTTTGCCGAAAAACATACACAAATAATTTTAAAAAAGTGTTATTCTATGTATCTAATGTATTTCATATAAAATTATTTATAATTTACAATAATTTATTGTATTATCAAGAAATAATTTGAAATTATATCTACTTTGATTAGAGTATAATTATTACATTCCTTCATGAAAATTTGATTGTTTATACATTTTTAAAAATTATTTTAGGTACGTAAAGTAAAAAAAAATTATTATAATTTAATTTTAATAATGATAAAAATCCTGTATATTATTTCTAAAAAGTTTTTTTTTTTTGTCGGTACGCCATAACTTCGTTAATTCTTCATCAAATTCAATGATTGACCACTCATTTTGAAGATATTCCTCTCCTTCACATGCGAAAAATAGTCCTATCCTCCCGAAATTTCTGGGGAAAAAGTTATGAAGGAAAAGAATCTTTATTTGCGGATAACTCAAAAATTGTTTTCTTGATTGTATCCATGATAAGTAGAAATATTTTGGTCTATTATATTAAATGGAATATTGTAATCGACCAAGGAAAAAATATTAATTCCTTCCTTACATAATACATGTAATTCCATTTAATATAATGACCAAAATATTTGTACAAATTGCTTTGTACCTACAAATTAAGACCTATTTTTAAACGCTTACTGGAAAGATGTAAGAACAAGCGAATGCATTTAAGAAATAATAAAGTAAATTTAAGAAAAATATCAGCCAGAAAAAAAAGTGTAGTAGATTATTCTACTCCTAAATACAATATCTTTAAAGAGGAAGATATTATTAAGTATACCAAAACTAATGTACTGTAATTGTCCGATTTTTACGATTTTTTTTTTTTTGTAGGTAATTTAGTAATCCTTCTACTTATCATGGATACAATGCATACTTTTTGAGTTATCCGCAAATAAAGATTCTTTTCCTTCATAACTTTTTCCCCAGAAATTTCGGGAGGATAGGACGATTTTTCGCATGTGAAGGAGAGGAATATCTTCAAAATGAGTGGTCAATCATTGGATTTGATAAAGAATTGACGAAGTTATGGCGTACCGACAAAAAAAAAAACACTTTTTAGAAATAATATACAGGATTCTTATCATTATTAAAATTGAAAACAACATGTGACTGAAATAGATGAATATAAAAATAATTCTCAAAAAATGACAATAATATTTTAATTTTTTTTTTTACTTTCTGTACCTAAAATTATTTTTTAAAAATGTATAAACAATCAAATTTTCATGAAGGAATATAATAATTATACTCCAATGAAAGTAGATATAACTTTAAATCATTTCTTGATAAAGCAAGTTAAATATAAGACATAAATATGAATAATAACATAATTAAAGTAGTTATTAAACAAACCTAAACTTTATTTATAAAAATATAATTTTGCATACCTAAACGAAAATTTTGTACGAAATTGAAAGGTGCCTCATCAAAACATCGCACATATACCAGAAACCTATTAAGAAAGCCGAGACAGAGGTATTTTGAAATTTGTTTTAATTTAGATAATAAACTGGTAGAGAGGTACCCAGATAGTAAGCATAAAAAATATTTCCTGCTTTAACAGTTTATGTTTGATCTAGAAAAAGGAGTTAAAACAAGATTAGATTTTTAATATTTGAGGAATTTTCTACAAATATAATTCTCTACAAAGATGGAAAAATCTCAGTTGGGTACTATCTTGCTTCTTTTGTAAAATATTTGCTGAAAAAAAAGCTGTTAAAATAATATTTTAATGTTATTATTCGTACATTAAATAATAATGTTCCATTTCTGTTTGCTTGAATTTGATTCAATAAAATGAGTTTAAGTTATGAGATTATTATAGTTATTAAGAATTATATTATTTATAATAGTGTTGATTTTTTTTAGGGGGGGGGTTAAGAAAGAATCCATAAATTTAAGTTTGCTCCTGCTTAAGTTGAACTTGATTCAATAACATGAGTTTAAGTTATGAGATTATTATAGTTATCACGAATTATATTATTTATAACTAGTAGGCCCGTGCGAAAAATTCGCACAGCATGTTATCAAATGCCAAATTAATAAGAAAATAAAATAATGAAACGTATCAAAAGATAAAGAAATCAAATGTTACTTTATCGATAAATATATTCCAAAAAGAAAACAGAAATTAATTTAAATCTTCATTTTTGTTAGGAACCAACATGTTTACAAATTTCAGTAAGCTATATCAATACTAAACATTGTCCGATTTCGATGATTTTTTTTATTTTGTTGAGAATTTAGTAATCTTTTATATAATCATGGGCATAACCTAGGAAAAAGCGTGTAATTTTTTGGTTATTCGCAAATAAAGTTTTTCTTTCATAACTTGTTTGCTTGAATTTTCGGGGTGATAGATAGGACTATTTTGCCCGCCTGAAGGAGAAGGAAGCCTTCGAAATTGGTGGCTCAATCTTGAGATTTAGTGGAAAATTAACGATAATATGGCATGCCGATCAAAAACACCATCGATAAATAATATCAACTTCTCCTCTCTCAATCATAGAGACCTCAAGTCGAAGAAATGAGACATGACAAAATGGCAATACTACAATTAACGTAAGGTTGTGTGGATGCGAACCCAATGCCTTGAGTTATCTCGAAAATAGTACGTTTTGGGGCTTAAAAACTCAGGATCCGATAGTTCCGAAGGAACTATCCGGATCTTGCTGTAGGCATAAAAATCTTCTTGATCCAATTTGTCCCGTATCGATCTACAGACCTACCACTATTCAGGTATTGAAGCCTAGCAAAATGTTTGTATCGACTTTATTTATTTTAGAAAGAAAAACAAAAGGGGAGAATACGATTCGCTAACCCCCCGTGAAATTCTGAATCCAACGGTACCCCATTCATGGTATTTGATCATGACAGGAGCTTATATTTGGTACAAAACCGATTTCGAGCCTTACTGTAATAATATATGTACGGATACTGTTGATTGTTTTATTTATTTATTTATTTTTTTTTTTTTTTTTTTGGTGTGGGTGGGAGTTAATCCAGAAATTTAAGTTTGCTCCTCTGGCATAAATCCTGCGCCAGATCGTAGCGTCTGTACTTCACAGGATCTTGTAGTGACTCACTTCACCCCACTTCAAGCTCAAATCGTTCTTATATTAGCGTTTCAGCTCATTTGTACTTCGGCAGTTCCTCCTCCACCACTTATAAAAATTATAGAATAATTAATATCAGTGGATTATTAATTAATTTGTAAGTGGAAGAATCATCATTAATAATGTCTACAAACTATAAGGTATTTATAATAATTGCATTATATTTCTTATTTAAATTATTACTTAATTATAGTTGTTTTTTTTTATTAGATTTCATTAAAATTAAACTTCATAATATTTTTTTTTTAAATTGCAAATCAAATTATTTTTGAGTTTCGATTAATTAAAAATTGAATCCATTATATTTAAGGTAATTATATGAAAGGTAATTTTGAATTTAATGATAGACCTAATTAATATAAATTATTTTAATTTATAGTGATAATTAGCTAAGTTTAATCACAATTGTAATTAATTAAATTGCCTAAAGATTAATAGTGACAATAATAAGTTTATGGTCAAAATAATATATTTATGGTCAATCCATTATATCAGGGGTTGAAACATTTTTAAACATTTTAGTAAAAGGTTCTTAAAGTAAACGTTCAAAGAAAATTTTTATTGAAAAGACTTAGGTTTCTGATAAAAGTTTAACTTCTGTTTATTTAAATTTTAAAAATAAATTACATTAAATTAGAAATAGACAGTATTTAGATTAAAGTTATAATTGATGTTAAACGAATTACTCGATTCTGATGTGTTGTTTGTTTGTTTCAGAATCTAAGATTAAAAGATATTTTTTAAATAGACTTTATGGTGAAATTAACAGAACTTTCAAATAAAAGATTTTTTAAAATTTTTACTTGAAATGTTCCGAGGGAAAAAGTTTTAGTCCAAAATAATAGAAAAAAAATTTAAATAAAGATTCCAGTCATACTGAAACTGTTAAAAAATACAAGTTAAAATTTAATTTCCAGCCTCTGTTTTGTGCAATCGAACTAGACAGAAGGTAAATATTTCATTTCTTGTGAGTATACTTTTATTCCATTTGCTCAAAAAACGCATGGTGCTGCATTTAGTCCTGTTAAATGCTATTGCTATGTTCAGGCATCATATCCTTCCACTTTTGGTTTTCTATGAGGTCTTACTCCATCTAGTATACGACGCTTTGGCTGCTTTCCCATCATCTATCCTTAATATGTGTTCTAGTCATCTGATGTATTAAAATCGAACACATCGTATACATTGTATGTCTATGTGTTTCTCCTTAGAAGATATACACTCTCTCTTCTGTTATTGGGCACAAGTAAACAATTACAAACATATATTTACATTTAATGTTAAAAATATGGATATATATATATATATATATATATATATATATATATATATATATATATATATATATATATATAATATATATATATATATATATATATATATATATATATATGTATAAATTAAATATAATGTCACAATTTAACAACTTATGTAAAAATCCAGAGAGAGATCTCTCCAAGTTATATCTTATCGAAGGCCTATTTATATTGATCAGAGATATTTAATAAATGTATTTTTTAATATTATTTTAATTTATTTCAGGAAATACCTGTTATACACCTGAATAATTTGGAGAAGGTAGATATCACTGAACCAGATCCAAAACCTGAAAAGTTATTCCTTAAACCTGTAAGTAACTAAACATAAAAATACTAGCTTTGTGCTTTATTTATTTAAGTAAAAATATTTATTCGTAAATATTTAAACTTATGTGTCACTACTTTAGACCGTAGAATGAATCAGTGATAAAAAAAAAAAGTATAAATTATTTCGTCCCATTTTTAGAGTGTGTGCAAAGTGTTTCATTTAACTTATGAAATGCCTAACTTCTTTTCTCGTTTTCAAGTGGTTCTGAAGTGCATTTTAATTAAGTCGCACTTGAATTTCATGTTGCACTAAGTTTCAAGGAAAATTGTATTTTTAAATTAAATGAATAATTTTATATATATTATTATACAGAGGCTGAGTCCCTCCAGAAATGACGTAGGTGAAACCCTTATAGACCATGACAATTTAATGTTCACTGAACATATTATTTGCGACATTAATGATGAATATATAACGGAGGACTCATCAAGACTTGAAAATGATCGAAAGGTTGAATTAAATAGCGTATCAATAAAATGTTTGGTGATAATTGGCCTAATTTTTATAAAAAAAAACCTCAAGACACCAAAATTACGATAAATAAATAATTGTTGTTTCTACTTTTAGATTGTTATCACTTTAAGCCAATCTGTTGAATTGGTTAATATTAGTAGATGATGACATATTTATATTTTGAAATATGTTATTTATTACTATTATTAATGCTTTATTGAATATATATATATATATATATATATATATATATATATATATATATATATATATAAATTATAAATTTCACAATATATACTGCAGAACATTTATAGGGCATGATTATTCGTCTGCCGGAAATTTTATACATTTTACTGGTTCAGTGCAAATAATTATATATACATGAATAACGGATAAATACTAAGACAATATAAATATTTTGAATAATTTATATCTAGGTAATAATAATAAAGGAAAATGAGGGAAATCATAATCAATAGCATGAATAAAACTGACCACAAATAATTAAGACTGATCATTGTCTATGCTGAATGTAGCAAATTAAAACGATAGATCCACGCATGTCGAGCAAAACAGACAATTTCAAGACATTTGTTCTCAGAGGGGGTATTCAGAAGATAAATTAAGACATCATTTCGAAGAGGACTAGTTTCAAGAAATCCTTCACGAATTTGACTAAGTATTGAATATTCAGCCAGAAAATGGAACAGGTCTTCTTTTGCTGGTAGGTTACAGAGTGGACAATCTGTATTTTCCCTGTCAAGCCATGGGATGTAATTCAAATAAAGGAGTTCACACCTGAGCTTAAACAACCAACTCAACTCGCGCCCAGTCAAATCCAAACAGCCATCCACGAATTTCAAAATTTTAAGATCATGACTCAATTCCCTATACAATAGAAATCGATCAGAATTCAATGCTACTAATTTACAATGGCCCAATGTTGATGAGTGCATGCAGACCGTATTGTTGCCAACTGGTCTTTCCATAACAAAAAGCATTCCAAAGACCTGTCGAGTATCTTACCAGCAAGAGTATCTTTCTGCCAAATCGCACCAATTTTTAAACCAAAAGGTATTACATTTAATCACTTCAATGGCAATAGCTCTGGAGAGAGGTCTTTCAGGCAGGCACAGCAATTTAAGACAATACTTAAAATGCAACTGCAAAGTGAATACCTCAAGTGGATTTGTGGTTGTTTCTAAATAAATCATATTGTTTGGTGTTGTTGGAGGCAACAAAAGCAATTTCTTAATGAAAAATCTTTGAAATTTTTCATATCCTTGAAAGCCCCAGACTTGAACCAGAAAGCATACTATGGAGCTCAATATCGCATCAAATATTTGTTTTTTGGCGGATAGTGGGATCAAATCTTGAACAATGAAACTTGAAATATATTACTTAAAAATACTATCATAAAATTTTGACTTATATTTTGAGGGGGGGATGGGTAAGCTTGCCCTGGCTGACAAAAATTGTAATTCTGACCTTGGTTAACATTAATTATAAATTGAGTTATAATATAAAACTATATTGTTTTAAGCACATTATCTGTTTATTAAATAATTGGAAAGCTGTGATTACCTAATATAATCTGAAATATTACTTATTGAAATAGGCTCTGTCTTAAAAAAAAGAATTATTTGTTTACATAGGTTTTTAAAACTCAAACAAATAATTGTATATTTCTGCTTCAAAAAAGATCAAAGCATATGAAAAGAAACATTTGTTCAATACAAAAGTCTTTGCTGGCGTCAAAGTCTCAATTTTAATCTTTATTAAATACAAATCTAAATTATACATATAAAGTTGTTTACTTTAACTTGTGTTTTATTTAATTATGTATACCAACTTTCTCTGTCTTAAATTCCGTTTTATAAATTTCACCAAAAATCTAGGATGAAAAGACAGTCATTCATGTTCTTCTAAGATACTCCTGGAAAAAATAAAACATGGTAATTTGTCTGGTGTAAAGTGAAAATGGGGTGAATTATAAAACAACAGGATTTTGGTGCAGATGTTTCGATTCCGGGAATCACAGCCTTGAGGTCTAGATCAGGTTTCTCGTCTAAGGTGATTGATGCTGAATTAATCGAGTCTGTCCATAAGAATCCATTTGCAACCACTGAAAGATTAATTCCCAAGATTTAAGATCCAAATTAGATCCTCGTGAATTGTCAAAGATTCAAGCTTGAGGAATAATTTATGTCTGTAAAATTTTACTTCAAATCAAAAAGAGAATTTAGAAAAGAATTGTTATGAATGGTGATAAACGGATATTTAAAAAAAAATTTACCTATGAAAAGAAAAGGCGCACCACAAGATCAATAGCCATAAACTTACTTCCAAGATCGGTTTGGAAAAAACGATCATGGTTTGTTATGATGGTTATGAATTATGAGGGTGTATTGCACTTTGAGCTGGTTTTAGATGGTAGAACTATTAGCACTATGCTTTACATTATTGAAATTTTAAATTAACTTACATATTTAATTTTAAAATTTCAGAAATCTTTGTCTAAATTATATTCAATGAATAGAAAGCTTTTATAAATAATATTTTTAAAAAGCTTTAATATAAAGTTTTTATAAAATAAACATGATACATCGCTACAGTTAGTAAAAAAGGTTGTATATTAAAATTAAGTTTTTTATGGAAGAGCATATATTTTATTTCTCTCTGCTATTTTCCTATTTAGTAGACTACTTATAGCAGTTGCACACAATAAAATGTCACTGCAAAGGGAATAAATGTGTAAAATTGTTATATATGACCTTTTGCACTAACTGTAGCGATATAAGAATTTTCGAAATATGGAAATTTAACTGTATTAAAGAAATATTTTTTATGAATTCATATTAATTTTTCAGTTACTAAAAATATACAATTTTTTTTTTTCTAGTGCGGAGGGCCCTTCGGCCAAATCCTCAGTGATATCAGAAAATCCATAAAAGAAAGTAGAAAAAAACATTCTAAACTATATTCTAATTTCATTATATTATTTGCTTTAATACTGATTGGTGTATACATTGGTTTTATGATATTCCGTTTTATAAAGACAGGTAAATATTAAAAATAATTTTGTAATTGAATATAAATATATGGTTATAACTTAATAGACCATTGGCCGTTAGGAAAAGAGGCGAAATAAATAAGCAACTCAACAACTAAAAAATTCATAATTATTTATATTCATTATATATTTTAATAATGCTCTTAAAAAATATATATGATTTAAACAGTGGTGGCCTTAGACATTGACTTTATATCTTCCCTCCATCCTAAAAAAAAATTTATTTATTTCTTAAGCCTTTTTGTATCGTGTAATATTTGAATTTTATTTCATTCAATATTTCTCTTTTACAGTAGCTTTATTAATAGGCTAAAATTAATTATTTTAATACATTCTGTATTTTTTTTTAATTTCTAACAAGTGGCGAGCACCCTTCCAGGTCGGTGCCCCTGTACATTTGTCCTAGCTGCCTGACCCTAAGACTGACCCTGGATTTAAATCTTGTTCATACCTGAACATTTATTCCTTGGGCAATAGGCAAATATAATAGCCTTTTTTAAATTAATCAAATAATTGAAAAAATAATTTACTCAGTTTTGTTCTCCAACTATATCATTTCACTAATAATGTAATGATGGTATGTTCATATTTACAAGATACAGTATTTATTTTATTTCTGTAATCAACATTGGACATAAATGTCAACTTGTGCCAATATTTATTCTAAATTATTTAGTTTATAAGTTGAATTTATGCCAATTACTTTCCTATTTTCTCTACTCCTTCACCATCCGAAAATGTGCTTTGCCAATTATTTTTCCCATTAGATCTTCTATTAGAAGAGATGAAAAAAAAGTCTGTTTCAACCAACAGAACTCGTTCTGTAGCCATGGAATTTTTTTAAGTGAATTTATTAAATAATTATTAAGTTATAAACCAATGATTTATTACTATAAATTAATTTTATTTTCAGGAAGTGATATAAACTGGTGTTATGGCTACGGTAGAGCGTTTATCTATATCGCTGCTATTTCATGGTGTCTCTTTTATTATATGGGCTTAAAGCCATTTTTTTATCCCATCTTTAAAAAGTATACGAAGAATGTATTTCGTGGGAAAAATATAATGTGAGTATAAATCATATTCACCCCAATCATAGTTTTATCTTTTTTAAATTATAAGTTACAGTAAAAAATAAAAAATTCAATACTTAATATTATGAAAGATTGATAGGTAAACTAATGGTCCGCAATACGGAATCCTTTTTATTGAATTATTAACATCCGCCTAAAACTTCATAAATAGCTTCATCTCATCGTAATCTACAACTTTTTTATTTATAGAAATTCTCGGAATCAGTTTTCAATTTTGAGATTGGCAAACTTTGTCTATTTAATTAGGCTCTAAAAACTCATCAACATCCATTTGCTTTCCATATGAATCATAAGATAATTTGAGAAAAAAAATTGAGAAAAAATTGGCATACAAAAATATTGGACTCTTTGGTCCTCCACCCCTATCATGTCAGAATAACGAGGTTATACAAGACAAATTGTTCAATATTTTTGTAGGCCACCTTTTTTATCGATAAAACTATCTCACGATTCAAGATAATGTAATTAATTATGTAATGTAATTCACAAGTAGAAAGCAAATGGGTATTTATGAGTTTATAGTACCACATTAAATTAATTAATTTAATTTGAAAAGGTTCCATATCTGAGAATTTCCATAAATAAAAAATTTGCAGATTTTGAGAAGATGAAGACAATCATGAAGTTTTTGGTAGATGTTAATTTGATAAAAACGGGTCTTTACCAAAAAAAAACTTATTAGGTTTTATCAACAACTTACATCTTTTTTCTCTATCTCTTGTTTAATATTTTCTCTTAAATTAAAATTAATATTTAAAAAATGATACGGAAAATAATTACCTCATTCTTTTTCCTTTTTTTTCAAAATGTCTAAATAAAAAATTATTTTAAAAATCTAAACATTTATCCACAAATATAAAAATAAATAAAATATATAAAATACATGTACTATTATTACCCATACAGAGGCCCATAAGAATGTGCTGCTTCTTGGTCAAAAGTTGTGTAGAAAGGTAATTTGACTGAGATTATGCCAGATTTTCTCCCTTAATTATTTAATCAATAAAAATTACTTCAAAGAGGCCAGGGTAGATCCACGGCTGATATAAGGGAACAAATAATTTATGTGCCATACCCAGCCTGAAACCTGCAACCAGGAGAATAGGAGTAGTGTACCTTACTCACTGAGCTACTCTCGAATAAGACAAATAAATTATTTTAATGTGTCTTAGAGACAATTGCTGTGTCTATTATTCGTGTTGTCTTAAATTTAATCTAACTTATTCCGGTAACAAAAATTTGATTAACCATTCCAGTTTAATAACATTGTAATGAATTATTTTTATTCGACCGAAAGGAACAAATTTTATCCTGAGAATTCTATAGTCCAAGAATAATCGATATGTTAGTAGAGTATTAACCCTAACTCCTGACCTGACCATGCAATTGGTGTTAACCTTTTAGTGAAGATGAGTGGGAATGGTTTAGCGTCCATGAGGACTGAATATTTTTCATCATTTCTACTTGGTCACTTACGCTTTTTTTATTTAAAGTATCATTCAAAAATGCCTATAATCTCACCCTTTAATAATTAACTCATAGGAAGGCTGCAAGATAGTTTGAAAGTCAAATTCATCACTGAGCACCTTGTCATTTTTTGAGAAAGAACTCGTCAAGCTCTCAACTCATATACAAGTCGACCATCGCCTGGGCTAGATTTTGTCTCAACTCATATATGAATCCATTGTCATTTTAGGGTTAAATATGTCAAACAAATAATTAAGTAATTACACAAAAATCCATATTCTGCATGTTGCATACTATTAATTTAAAATATAACTATTGTAAAATACACCTTTATTGAAATTGGTAAAAATGGTTTAATAAATTAATGTTTAACAATTAAAAGGCAAGCTAATCTAGTTCCCCTAATGGCAGGGGATGTTTAAATTTGAAAAATAGTTTCACTAGTTCAGGAAAAAGAAAATGGCTACACTGTAGCTTTACCAAAAAGGAAAATCCCAAAAAGGAGAGTGACAAACGATTTTTGTTTTGGCAAGCAGTTGTTTGGTAAGGGACTAATTGTTTGGAATTACTAGAGAAAGCATCTCTTAGGGAACTTATGAAGTTCTTGAACTTATATTTAGGAAGTTAAGTGGATGAAAGTATTACCATTTTGGAAGATGTGTTTGGCAGAACATGAGAAAATGTTATAAGACAAATTAATTCAGTGACACAAAGGAAGAAACAGTGTGTATTGAAAAAAGGCTAGCTTGCCAATTCATACTTCATTAAAAATCAAACAGTTTTTAATGTAGTTAATTTTAATTTGTCTGAGTCTTTATTGTTTATTTATTTTCAGTAACCGATATCTGAGATAAAATAATTGTAATATATCAATATTATTATAATTTTGTTTATTATTTAAGAACATCTTATTTATTTAGGAAGTAATGCAACAATATGAAGTGATCTTCCGAGATTATATTATTAGTTTAAAAATATAAGAGATATTACTCTATATATATGAATATGTGTAAAGTGATGTTTATTGTTTCAGGGCTATGAAATATACAATTTATTTGACACTTTTAATTGCATTTATCATATTTATTATTTATGATACAACTAATAATAGAAGAAGGCTCATTTCTTTATTAGGAGTTATCTTTTTCTTATTCATTTCTTTCATATTTTCTAACCATCCTGAATATGTGAGTTCTAATTTTTTATATTTTATAAAGTCTTTAAACTATTATAAAGTAAATTATAACTTTTTTTTATATTGTTATTAGATCAGATGGGACACAGTTTTGTCCGGTGTTACATTACAGATTTTATTTGGTCTCTGTATGATACGTTGGGAAACTGGAAGAAACATATTGAAGTGTTTTGGGGATAATGTAGTAAACTTCTTGAATTTTGGTTTAGATGGGGCTACTTTTGTGTATGGAGAGACATTAATAGTCAAGGAAATGGTCTTCGCTTTTCAGGTAACAAAAATAAGTTAGCTATAAAAATATATAAAATTTTTACATCATTAGTGTGTATTTTATATATATTAGATTATGATGAATCTCATGACACACAAAAATTATTTTATTTACTTATTTTCAGGCATTATCAACTCTATACTTCTTGGCTATGTTTGCTAGAATATTATTCTACCTTGGCTGGTTGCAAATATTTTGCTTCAAGATTGGTAGTTTTATTGAAATGTGTTTAGGAACCACAGTCATCGAAAGTATTAATGCTGTAACAATAATATTTTTGGGAATGGTAAGTAAATTAGTGAATCATGTTTTTATTTTAAAGCAAATAATTTAAAAAATTGGTATGTTGGCTAGCTACTGAAGGTTGAAATGTGGGAAAAGCAATAAAGTTGAGGATATTGGATGATATACCTTTACTAACTGGCCAAAGTATAGAAAAGTAAATTTTTTATTGATTTAAAACATTTTATTTATTTATCCCGATACACGCTAACAATGGACCACGCGTATATTGTTTCTAGATCTTTTTCTTTTCTGCCCATTTTCTTTTCATTTTTCTCTCATCTCCCTCTTTCTTTCCTCTGTCCATTTCTTTCTTTCTTGCTTCTTTTTTATATTCAAGAACCTTTATATTTTTCACTATTTTACCAAATCTACCCCTATCTTGGTAGTCCTCTTTGGTATCCATTTTTTTTCACTTTTTCTTTTATTTATTCCGGATAACCTTTTATGTTCTTTTAATCCCATTACTTTATTGAATATTTGTTTAAAAACATATAGGAATTTTTTTTAATATCATGCATTTATTGTTATAATTGTATTTATTCCCTTTTGCATTCTCCCCTTCATGTTATGCCCTATATAATATCCCCCCTCAACCTGTGTTAAATTCTTTTAATCATAATTTAAAATTTTTAAACACAAAAATAAATTAGGAAAAAATACAAAAAATCGCACATTTTTTTATAACCAAAGTTCCTATTGTGCTAAGTGTTGAAATTAACACACATCAGATGGGACCTTATTTCCAAAAGGTTACACTTCAGCATCTCTTGGTTTGAAATGTTATATAAGGCAGCTTTGTTTGAAGTTACATTTATTTGTGGTAAATTCTGCATCAGCAAGGGTTTTAAAGTCAGAGCAAAATGCAAGAAATTATTTAGAAGAAATCACTAATTGAGATTAAATTACAAAGATATAGAAAGTTGTGGGTAAGTTGCTGTTATCTACAACTGCTAAGAAGCAGTGCCAAACTGTTCATAAAATAATCTCTTCCCTGATATATCTTACCCTATTTTTTGAAAAGGGTTTATATTAATGAGTGTTTTATTTCTTTATAGTAGTTTTATTTTATTAATAAAGAGATGCTTTGGGCTCATAATTCAGTGTTTGTATTTTTATAATATTTTTAAATTTGTAGCTGGGCTGTTATAAAAAAAGTTTGCTCATTTTAAAAGTGGAGGAAGAATAAGGCCCATGAAAAAAAAAAATAATAACATTATAATAACTTTAAATAAATATTAGTTTTTCATGTTTCATTATTAATGTATTCACAAATAACTTCAAGATGTTAATCAATTTAAGCGATATTTGTAATGTTCTAGTCAGAAGCTCCTCTTTTGTATTCTGTTTATTTGATTGATCTGTCCTCATCTGAAATGCACGCAATAATGACTTCAGGGTTTTCCACTGTTGCAGGTAATTAAAATTCAACAGATCAAGTTTTAAAAAATATATTAACAACTAAAAAATAATTTAAACAAATTAATATATATTTGAATATTTAAGAATTTTTTTTCATGGCATTTTATGATAAATATGGTACTTGTATAATGGTAGGTAGTGTATTCGCATTTATTGTATTATTTTCATATTATTATATCTTCATATTTATTACATTGTATTGATATTATTGAAATTGGGAACAAAATAAAAAACAACAAATGTAATAATAAAAAAATACTTTTATTTTACAAGATATGAAACATTATGAAGACTATAAAGAACATATGTACGTATAAAAGAAACGATATAAACAAAATATGAACAATTTTATTTTAACTTAATTTATTTTGGTAGGGTTTCCCTATAGAAACGGTTTTGTTACAACTACAAAAGCATCTCCATTTAATCTTCCCATCGAACTGCATTTGATGACCTTCATCACAATATTTCACCTTAGCAAATATTCCGGCATCTTGAAAATATTTGGTAGCCCCTTCTCCTGAAGACGTCAATTCCCACAATGTGACAACATCCATAATTAAATAAGACTAACTCACAGGTTACACAAGGAACAACAAATAAACAAGTGAATAACTTAGGTTAGATGAGATAAGGGAGGCTATGTGAAATCAGATTAGATAATAAGGGAGGTTTTGACGCTAGCTGCTATTATACAAGTACCATAAATATTATTGCCTCATGTTACTTAGATCACATAGTAGGAAACTGAAATATAATTCATTTTGAATTTTCATTTATCTTTTGTCAGATTTCCCCAAATTCCAAATTAATGGTACAAAATTCTTCAGAATATATTTTTTTATAGCTTACATTTAAATTTCAATAGATAATCTAATCACTCACAGCTAGAAGCCAAATATCATTGATGATAGACAGAATAATTAGGAAAATTGGTTGGGGAGTTCAAGTCATTAATTAAATAAAACACAAATAAGAAAATCTATTTTATTGCATGCCAATGTTTCTCCTCAAGTTTTAGGCCTTCATTTAAGGCTGCAACTAGTGAGGGGTTGGTATAAATTAGAATTTAGGGAGTAGTGTATTTCCAACATAATATTTTTAGATTAAGTAAAAAATATTTGTGTTGGCTTATTTATCATTCTGAGCTTAATTAAATCAGTCAAATATGAGTATATGATGTTATTTATTTTGAAATATATCATTGATTTATTGCAGAAATCTTCACACTTTTTGACCAGCGTTGAGATCCCCACCATGTCCAGCGAGCCATGGCTCTTGATGAAAAAAAAAATGTGTTTTCTATAAATGACACTTCAGTCGTGAGCTTTATAAGAGAAACAATTCGTACCATAAATGTTATATAACCTCGTGTTTGAGTGATTAACTAAATTTAATTTTTTTTTTTTTAATTTCACGATGTAATCCAAGAAACTTCCATGGGCCCAATCCCAAGGGAGCCATAATTTGAAGATTCCTGGTTTATTTTATTATACATTTTTGATTGAGATGAACTTTTAAGAAAATTTTATAAGTATTGGTGTTATTTATTAAAAAAAAAAAAGACAGTTGAACAAATCCCTTTATAAATTAAAATATAGTTACAATAAGCACACAATTTTATGATTGAACAAATGAAAAATTCATCATTTCTTTGTGATTTAAGATTACAAAATGTTAAAATATTGTTATAAAACTGTTGAATTTTATTGGAAAGGGATGCAGGATGAAAGAAGTAGTGGCACGATTAAGCTTGGATCTTAGTTTTTTACATAATTGAGGATGTGATGGATGCACAGGCTGAGACATGAGGCCTAGAGTGCTAGATTTTGAAAGTTGTGAGTTCAATTCCCACCTGGATCAGTTAATATTTATTTAATTATATTAGGACTACAAGACCCACTTGTCAAAATAATTTCTCCATCAGTAACAATAACAGTACATACATAATATTTTAGCATAGGTCAGTCGGCCGTTGTTTAGTAAAGGTGTAAAACCTGTTGGTCATCAATGTCGTTAATTAAATGTATATATTATTATATCTTTTGGTTGTGAATAATAGGAATAAAATTAAATTAAAAAGACGTAAAATGTACGTTAAGATTATAGTTCTTTACGGTTATTAAAGTTTAGTTATTTAAAATTAGGTTTAAAGTCAGAATGTTAAGTAAAAAACAAAAAAATGCTATTATTTTAAATTGTAAATTATTTTATGCTAAAAATGCAATTATTATAGCATAGGTATTACTGCCATACATTCTTTTTTTTTTTTTTAAGGTACATTACTTGCTGCTTATACAAGCTTGGGTGTTGATCCAAGATATGTCGTAACAGCTTCGATAATGGCAGCCCCTGCTTCTCTTTGTTTCGCAAAGCTTCTCTACCCTGAAACTATTCAGTCAACGACTACTTCTAAAGAAATAACACTTCTAAAGAGGTATGACTTAATAATCCTTTAATGTCAATTTTAAAATGTTATTATTGATGATAATTCAATGTTTCAATGATTTTATTATGTTTCAGTAAAGATACAAGCCTTCTACAAGCTGCTAGCAATGGGGCTTCATCGGCCATCGCCATGGTCCAGGGTATAATTGCGAGTGTAATTGCCTGCGTTGCACTTATCTCATTTCTTAATGCAGTTTGTTCATATCTAGGAGCATTAGTCGGATACGACGGTATAACTTTAGAGGTAAAAATGAGTTTCACTTTCTCATAAGTTATCTATAAATTAAACAATATAAAATTATAAATAATAGATAGTTGATTTCATTGGTCTTTGAATTCATTTTGTAGATCAGTTGAAGTCTATGAATAACAAATAAAGTAAACATAATGTTTTTTAGTAATATTAATAAACAGAACCGAACTTAAAAAACAGAATTAACAAAAGTAATTTCTGGAGTCATGCTTTTCCCTCCACAGTTGGAGGGTCAAGCCTGGCTTGGAGTTCTCTCACTTGATTGTAAATAGTGTATATAGGTATATATCTGTTCTTTTTTATTTTTTATTTTTAGGTTATTTTATTCTTATTTATTGTATATATATTATATTTCTGTATAATTTATTTATTTTTATTGCACATAGAGTGTGAATGTGAACTCTGAACACTATTATAAATGTCCTTTGAGACAGATAGTAATATTTTTCAATAAAAAAAAAATAAATAAATAAATAAAAATTAATTGCAATTTTAAAATTAAGGAATATAACAGTTGCATAGGACTTTATACACGCAGCACCCAACAGAAACACACTTTTGACTTCAATAATAATGAAATAGTAACAAGTGAAAAAAATGAATATAAATATAAAGTAGTATTCTTTTAGTTCCTGAATTACAACTATTCTCCATTACGGTCTCTTATTTCTCCTTTATTTAATTATCAAATTCTACCATACTTTATATTTAACTATCTTTCATATTATAGATTAATGTGAAATGGTCAATTGTTTCAAATAAAAAAAATTAAAGGTACTTTAAGGGAAGCTAATATTGAAAATTAGCCGTTTAAGCTCTGTTAGAGAACATCAATCAGAATAAAAACTATATTTTATTTAAAGCTGCTTGATTTTACACTGATATGATGAATGTAATCAAAATTGTTAGAGCCGTTTTCAAGAAAATCGTAATAATGTGTTTAGTTCATTATATAAAGTGCCACTTCCGGTTAGCCAATTTTGAAAAAGTTGCTGTAACATCTCTAGCATAAAAAAATCTTAAATATACAACTTCACTTTAATGCGACTTATTGTTTTTGAGCTAGACTGTTAACACACAGACCATTTTGCGGGACCTGGTTATTTGGACTCAGGAGACTCTAAAACGTGTATTTCTGTTGAAAACTGAGATTTAAAAATTTTCACGAATGCAATACTTTCCTTTACTATATATTTCATATATAGGTAAGTGAAAGTAAAAAGGAAAATAAATTGTGAAACAAATACATTCTTTACTTTATATTATTGATATAATTAATTAAAAATTCTCATGGAAAGTAGAAAGGTTTAATTAAACTTTCCTATAGGTGTGCCTAAATCCATAATACCAGTTGGAGCCTAGGTGATTCAACAAAAATTGATTTAATTCCTTTCCTATTTTGGAAATATATTGTCTATGTATGTTCTTTAGAAGAAAACTTGAAATATTTTCTATTGCGTTAGCTATTATTTTGGTCAAAATTCACTGACTATCTTTAGAGCTTGTTAGCAATAGTACATCAGCTTTAACTTGTTAGAAGTACTAACTTCTTAGAGTTCCTTTGTCACATATTTAAAGTTTATTTAGAAATCAATAATGGGAAAATGAGATACATCTACACTTAAATTAAGTAAATCTCAAATAAATGTTTTGACTGATTGTCTGTTCTATCTCATGCTGCTAGGAAAGTAAAATATAGAATGATAACAAGTGATTATATTTAATTGTTTGGTTTTTTTCAGTACTTGGTCGGAATGCTATTTGTTCCAGTTGCCTGGCTGATGGGAGTCGACCCCGAGGAATGTCAAACCGTCGGTAGCCTTATCGGTATCAAAACTATGGCCAATGAATTCATAGCATATAAGCAACTTGGCCAACTCAAAGCAGCAGGAAAGCTATCAGTATGTTTCGTTACAGTATAAGTAAATTACTAGACATTCTTAGTGACTTAAGATTATAGTTTTATTTTCTTTCAGGAAAGATCGGAAGCTATAGCAACATTAGCTCTTTGCGCCTTCTCGAATCCTAGTGCCTTGGGTGGTAGTATTGCTACCTTAACAACGCTGGAAAAAAGACAAAGTGAAAAAATTCACAAAGTTGCGTTAAGAGCTTTTGTTTCGGGTTGCATAACAACGTTTACTTCAGCAAGTATAGCAGGTACTTAGAACACAAAACTAATATAATAATATTAATAATTATATTTATACCTATCATTTGCTTCTAATTTTTTTTTTTTTTTTTTACTAATCTAGAGTATTTTCTTACTCTCACAAAATTCAATCGACCAGGTGCTTTGTCATCTTTTAAACTAAACTCCTATTGTGGTTCACAAACTGAGTGGTACAATAATAAATTAATTTAAATATTTAAGGTCAAAATTGTCAATTTGATGTATAGACTCTAAAAATTAATAATTTTATATTTATTTATAACAAAATTAAAATTAAATTCATTCATATTTAAGATAATAACTAGGTAAAATTTTATATATATATATATATATATATATATATATACATACATACATACATATATATATTGCATAAAAATGGGTAAAGGTTTTTAGGATGTTTTTAATGTTTTAGGAATAAGATTACTACAATGTTTTTTATTCCTACAAGGATACCACGAATGATTTTAAGGTCAAGCGCATTACAAAAAGTTTTTAAAAAGGTACCATGGCAAAAAAAAATCCTTAGAAGTTTTAGAACTGAAACTCCTATTGTTCTAAGTGAAACCTCTAGCTGAACAAACCTCCCTGAAGAACACATGCAAAGTCGGGTCAAAATGTTGGCTATTAATAAAATAGTTTTGTCACTATTTATGACTGCCACCCCGGACCATCTCCTTCACTTTCATTATTGTTCTATCATATAAAGGAAAATTCCCATGACTTTTTTTTTTGAGTCAAATTATCCTTTCTAGGTTGTAGAGAATGTAGGTTGAGAAGCAGGGCGAAGTTATAGATGAGATATAACGCCAATTAAGGAGTATATTTTATTTAGTGATGAAGTTTCAGCTTAAGTTGTAGGTCTTTATTAGGACTATGTAAAAACAAGATAACAACCAATAAGAAAGAGCATTAAAGATATTATATCACAAAATAATAACAAAATAAAAAACACAGTATAAGTTCAGGATTTTTTTACCATTGACATTCTCTATTTTATTTTAAAACTTTATTTGTAGAGAAGCTTTCGGTGTCCGTGCATGATATTCATCTCTATAATTATAATACTCCAATTAGGATAAATTTATGATTAATTTATGATATCTCCTGTAAAAATTATGACAAATCATATATAGGAATGAGATCGACCAATATAAAAACCAGATTATATAACCACAAAAGTACCCTTAAACCTAATTCAAAAACAGTTACTGCTTTATCAAACCATGCACAAAACCTTAGAAATGAAATAGATTTCGAAAATATTAAAATACTTCATAAATCAAACTACCGATCACAGCTAAAAATTTTAGAATCCATTTATTTATACATTAATTAACGAAAAAAATGTGCTAAATTCAAAACAGGAAGTGGCCCACATCCCACAACACTATTCACGAATAACATCCATCCATAAAAATTCAAATAATGCTAAATTAAATAAGGTAGGGTAACTTTAGTTACCAAATAGTTGAGATAATATAGAGGGTGCTGACAGTAAATCTTCAGCATTCAGTAAGATGGTGGTCGACAAAGAACAAGAACACTGTTCTTATCCTTTATGTTTTTTAAATAGACAAAACTAATAATAATAATAATTTAAAAACAAAACAAAACTAATAAAAGGTATGTATGATCTGATAATAATTGCATGACATTTCAAAAATTATGTAACATATATAATGCTAATGTTATTAATTAACTGTTAATTCATATTAATTAGAGTATTATAATTATAAAGGTGAATATGGTGCATGGACACTGAAAGCTTCCTTACAAATAAAGTTTTAAAATAAAATAGAGACTATCAATGATAAAAAATACTGAACTTATAAGAACATAAAAACATTATAAAATTACCTAAAAAAAAAACGGTATGAAAAATATAATGATTAATCAAATAAGTATTTGTAAATAATGAGAGATGAATGAAAAAAATATAGTTATGTAAAATTTTAATTTTCTTTATTACACTTATGATTAACATTCTTATTTTCTTTTATTTATTTTTCATATTTATTTTTTATTATCATGTTTTACTTAGATCTGATTGAGCTTAAAACTTAGACCAAAACATTAGCCTAATCTCCTGATAAAATAAGAGTTTTTTTTTTTTTTTTACTTAATTCCAATTCTTAGCTCTCCTCCTTGACCATTGATGTTTCCATCCTGATTATGATAGATAAGTTGGATTCTAATTTATTGAAAATTTTTAACTTTTCCAGCAATAAATGATAAAGTAATAATCATAATAATAATAACAGTAATAAATAATAATAAAAACTTTGTCAGTTAATCACATAATAAATGCTCGAGAGTTGTTGGAATGAATTACAAACAAATAAAAAATGGCTCTTGGTTGCTAATTAGACATTTATCATTTTATAAATCTTTTTTGAAAGGTAATAAGTGAGAAAAATAATCAAACTATGCATTGATTAAAAATTGACATGGTCATTTTGTGGTGGTTGGCCTAGTATTCATAATTTCTTATATATTTATATTTTTCAATAAAATTATTACATATTTTCTTTTTAAGGGTTGCTGACAGAATGAAGTTGAAACAAAATTACATTGTGTTTTTGAGCAAATGTTTTTCTGCATCAAATGTTTCAATACAGCTAACAACAGGAAGAAAACATCATATTCCTGTTCTGTAAATAAGTTTTAATATGCATGAATTACCTTTAAAAATTCTAATGTGTAAATTAGAAATTGGCAAGAAATTGATCATTGCTGGAAATATAAGCAGCAATAATAGATAGATAGATAGATAGATAGAGATGTGGAGTTACTCCTTTTATAAAAGAGTGATAAAAGTAGTTGGTTTTGATTCCCATCAGGGTCAGCTAATATTTATTTTATGAGGATTCAAGAAATAAATACTTTTACGTTTTCTTTGGTAAAAAAAAAAAAGTGGCTACCTCTGGATGAAAATTTTGGAATATCAAAAACAAAAAGATCTACCTCTTCTGTTTTTGTACTTCCCTCCATTGCTTATGTACTTATGCGAGGATGTCAGAGGTGGCATAGGTTTGCTGAATAGAGAATATTGGATAAAAATATCAGAATAAAAAAGCTGCCATACCAAAGACTTGCTGGTGATTTTGTGGAATAGAAGACCTAATTAGAGTAAATATACAGGGTAGTCGTAGTTTTTATTTAATGTAATGGTTATTTTACTTTTTATAATGTATATTGGAATATATTTATTTTTTCTATATTATGAAGAAAGTATAAATCATTACTGTAAAGATTTAACATTACTTTATGTAAACATAGTTGTAATCTTCAACAAAGAAATTTAAATTAATTTATGAATTATAGATTATTCTTCATTTATATTTTTTTTACAACTTTTTTATACTGATCAGAAAAATGATTGATTAATGAATTTATTTTTTTATATATATTATGAAGAATGTATATATAATTACTGTAGAAATTAAACATTACTTTATATAAATATAGTTATAATATTCGACAGAGAAATTTAAATCAATTTATGAATTTGATTTTTTATTTTATTTTAAGTTGTTTTTATACTACTTGTATGTTATTGATCACAAACTTTATACTTTAAATTTAAAAAAAAGAGATATATTTATTATATATTTTTTTACTTTTCAAATGTATGTTTACGTTACATCCTATTTTAAATAAAATGTTTTATAATATATGATAATTGAAATTATACCTCTAGTCATTAAAAACACATCTTAAATAAAAATATAAATTTATACTATATTTGATAAAACAAGATCTAATTAAAAAAAAAAAAATCTGTCAGTTTCTTAATCATTTCTATTAGTTACATGATTACCTGTACTTGAAGATCTATAATTTGTTTTTGGGAATGAAATCTATAGAAAAAAAAAAACATTTTCACGTAAAAATGTGTTCCTAAGTTAAAGAAGTATTTTCACTTACCACTCTACTTTGAATAGAAATTATTTTCTGGCAACATTGGGCTATTATAAAATTTTTGGAGTGCATTTTTACAGATAACAAATCATTAAGAACATTAAAATTACAAAAAGTCTATTTATTATATCGACAGTAGGTAACAAAAATCTAGTTTTATAAACCACATAACTTCAGTCTCTGAGCCTTCCAGTTGACAGAATGACTAACTCCAATTTCAACATTTTTGAGTAATGTCATTTTATTGATAGTTCTAGTTGAAAAAGTTATATCTATACAGACAGTGAGCAAGTTGATTCCAGTGTAGATGATTGTAATGTTGAAATATATGAGTAAAGGTTTAAATTTTGCAACTAGAAACATCACTAAAATTAATAATAAAGAATGTTGGAATTGGAGTTAGTCATTCTGTCAACCAAAAGGCTCATATATGCCTAGAGAGATTCGAAAGTATATCTGAATATTTAACCTATAAATGATTATCGATTGTAGAAATATTAGTTATAAAACCATTTTAACGTTTACTAAAATTAAATTACAAAATTTTCATTGTCTGATATGGATAGGTTAAAAGTTGTCAAACTAATTGTAAGTGGATAATGTTGGGACTTCACAAAGGGAAAATTGATCAAATTATTCACTAATTTAATTTTCTAAAAGCTTACTTGATGATTTTTTGTAATAAACGGCCAATAGATACCTAATTATTTAAATATAATTTCATATCTAGATTTATTAAACTACAGTAAATGTATTTATGGTTATAAACATATCCATAAAATATTTTTATATTTCACCTCTTCTTTCACACAAGTACAATGAAATAATGGCAGTGGCTTGATTCGGTAGATTTTAAATACTTTTTTTTTCAAAAAAAATATAGAAGTTCACATTTAGTAAGAAAATTTCATTGGAAACATGTGATTTATGTTAAGTCATGTTAGTTTTCTGAAATTATTATTTATATTTTTTTCATCACTCTCCGTTACCTTCTACAACTTTATTTATTTGATATTATTTTTTCTAAAATTCTCCACTTTCTAATGATATATTATACGCATACCTTCTGACTTATTTCTGGAGATTCATTTTCAATTTGGCTAAGCATTTTTCTTTTTTTGTTCAGTTTCCAATTATCATATTATTTCAAACATATTTAGCCATTTTTGATAGTTACTGTCAATAAAAGAGAGTTAATTTTTTTAAATAAACCATATTAAAGGTAATTTAGAGGAAGACATACATGAACATTGGGCATTTGAGCCCTGTAAAGTGACATCAATGGGGATAAGACCTAAACGACATTAAATACAACTTAATTATACAATGATACACTGAGTTTAATCAAAATTGTTAGAGCCGTTTGTGAGAAAATTGTAAAAACGTGTTTCACAGTTGATAGAAATGGCACTTCCGGTTAGCCGATTTTAAGCATAAAATTGCTGTAACATATAAGGCATACACCTATTTTAAATTTTTAAATATATAACATCACTTTCATGTACTAACTTGCTTCGATTTTGGGCCAATTTGATTCTGTTTTTTTTTTTTAATATAGGCGTATCAAGGAAAATATCTTTGCTTATATGTAAGAGGAAGTTGAGGATGGAATTAGATAACATTGATGCAGCCTCATTTTGCCTCTATCCCTAAATTTCCTTCAACTTACAGTCAAATCAAATGAGTTTTATTTGAAATATAGGCATGTCTAAGAAAATTCATTTATGTATGCTAAGGGAAATCAGATTAACACTATTTCTAAAACATTCTTGATTTTGAAAACATCAAACGAGAGTAGAAATTATCCATTTTGAGCACAAACATATTTTCTAAACCAGCAAAAAAACACAAAGTTTCCATATCTTATACAATGAAGAATCAATAAAATTAATTAAAAATTTATGTAAAAATAAACATTATGTCATATTTTAGAGATAATTTTTAAGTAAATTAATGCAGAGTCAATTTAATTAAGTTTAAAAAAAAACATACACAAAGTACAAATAAAATATCTATTTATTTTAAAAAATTGATTTTGATTATAAAATATACAAAGCATGATATAAACTCTACAGGACAATATTTTTAGAATTTATAATCACAATTGAAGACCTGATAAAGGAGTGAATATGTTATAACAATAAAACTCAAAACAAAAAAAAATTATAAAGACAAGATAAAACATCAACAATTATAAATAAAATTATTCTTATAATATATTAAGTAACACAAAAATAAAATTAATGGAATGCTATAACGTATAATAAGAACAAAAAGGAAAACATTTAAAATTATTTGGAGTGATGTTGATTTGAATTGTTATTTAAAACCTTAGAATAAATTTTCACAGAATTAATTTTTTTTCATGTTTTGCATAAACTGTTTTCCTTACTATTTTGTAATAATTACAATAATATTAATAATATTTAATACAATATACAGTTTTAAAAAATTCAAGTTGGCAGTTCTATAATATACAGAACAATTAACCAAATCTAAAAATACAATGAGCCAATTTCTGCTAAATGTACACCGTTTCTGAACACTTTCTCTACCGCCAGCAGTAAAACGAAGTGTTAAGAATACACGAGTTTCCAATAAAGCTACATTAGCATGGAATATTATTATATTCTATATCCATGTATCATCATGGAAAAGCTATGGCCACAGGAACATGTTTTGTTTTTTTATTGTAAATTATTTTATAGAAAACAAAAACAATCCATTAATGTAATGGATTAAAATTATTTTATTTCTGCCTTATGGGTTAATTAATTAAATTTTCCAACTAAAAACCTTAGCACGTTCCAAAGTAAGGCTTTTTTTGAGCCAAGTGATGTACATTCATTACATGTTTTTTAGATTATCTTTTTAAAAAAATCTTATAAAAATATTGGCAATATTCAGAACATAATCCAAATTGGGAATACCGATTCGGAATAATTTTCTGAAAATAGAAACGTTTTTGATATTTTGAGTTGGTTTACCCAAAAATTTTTATCAATGACAAAATTAATATCAAGTAGCGAACATAATTTAATCATGCGCTTTGTTGAGAGATGCTAAATTATATGAAATGGAAATCATGCCCATGTGATCATAGCCTGATGACATGATACACTTATAATAATACCATTAAGGGGATTTATTAAATTAGTGTCACTGACATTTATGAGAGAGAAAAAATCAAAATTATTCAGAAGAAATTATTAAGTTTTTTCATATTAAAACTTGAGCACCTATATGTTTAAGTTCACAGTAAATAAGTTATAACATTTAAATTAAAAATTACATTGTTCTCTAGCATCTACAGAATCCATGAAACATTTTTCAAATTTGAAATAAAGTACAATTTGAAAGTACACAATATTCATTTATTAATAACTATAAATAATTATAATAATATTTATAACAAAAAGTATATTGACAGATAAAATTGAGCTTGTGGCCAAAATGCCATTAAAAATTTCAGAAAAAAAACAAACGATAAGGAAGGCATATTATTAAAAAATAAACTATATCAATTATTAAATAGTTTTACGTGTATCTCAAAAGCAATACAACAATGAACTGCTTTGCAGACTTTGATTAGGATTTTTATAATTAAATACATAGCTTTTTAATTTATATTAAATTCAATGCAGTTTAAGAATGTCTCTTGTCGCCAGAAGACAAAGAAAAACTCAAGACTAGTTTCTAGCTAATTTAACCAATTAAATAAATTAATACATATAACATTTAAGTTAAAAATACCTGAATGCATAAACTGATGGACAAAAGTTTAGTGTACAATTCCAGTGCTTTAATTTTGATTGGTTATTTTGATTTTCTTATTATCAACTTTTATAATTTGTTATTTATTGATTAAGGATTTAAATTAAATAAATAATGCTTTTTTTCTTTTATTTACTTTTTTTTTACATCATTTTTGTTTGGATTGAACAATCAATGAATCTAATTGTTTGATTAATGCTTGCCTGAGGAAATTAAATAGAATTTTAAAACCAATTGAGTTGCTGATTAAGTTTCTCTTGTTTCGTTTTTGAAAATTTTATAATTAGTTTCTTAAAAAACATGTTTTCTTACATGAAAAAAAAAATGTTTACCCTTAAAAATCAACATATTGGAAAAATAAATATGACGTTTATATTTCACGGAATACTTATGTCCAACAATTTATTTAAAACTTCAAATAATAATAACCAATATTTTGAACTTAAAAAATAAATTTATGTAAGCATTTTTACATATATTTATTTTTTTTTTAAATATATTATAACCAAATGCATGTATAGAGATCAATTAAACATATAGTAAAAGTAAATAGTTTCAGTAACAATATTAAATTAATTGTACTTTAAAACTTCATTTGTAATACTATTATTTTTTTTTTAATTCATACTAAACTTATACATAATGCTTGGATGATTTATAAATAACAATTGTTATAAGCAGTTTAATAAATGTGAAATACTTCTATATAAGGTGCTATGAAATTTTATATTACAACCTAAAATAGGCACACAACCAAAGTGAAACAAATATTTAGAATATTGATAGGCTTAATAGTTGCAAACGTAACCACAATAGATAAGCTGTTTATAAATAGATTATTTTCATCTATATGTAGAGGTAGGTTTAAAATCCAAATAAGAATGATAAATAAACATCCACAAATTCATTGCACCATACTCTCAGTTTAAAATGAATACATTCAAAATAAAATTAAATGATATGTTGATGAGAGGAGATTTAACAAAAATTGAGCACAAAGCTCTAATCCATACTTAAAACTCGATTAAATATATCGTGGAAGAAAAAAAAATCTTACAGGAACGTCTTTAAAAATGAATTGTATGTATAAAATACAATACAAATGCTTATTTGTCTTCGTTTATCACAGACAATATGACGTATAAATAAATATATAACTGGCACAGATAAAATATTTAAAGTTCAAAGTACGATATTCATGGTAGATCAAGCAAGCCGTTAGTTCTGTAGCACTGTTCAGTCCTGTTGTATACCTCGTCTGCAGCATTTAACATAAGGGGAAGAATATTTCCTATTTCCTCCCAGTTACTTCCACAGACCTTGAAAAAATATTTAAAAAATTTTTAAAATTCTGGAACAGCCTGGAAAAAAAAAAAAGAACACAGGAGGCAATCCTGATTATTAGCTTTATGGTATTCTAGAGACACGGTTTCGTATTGAATACTCCCGAAAATTCAACATTCAATCAATCGATGCACTTATGGTAATCAGGGATTAATATTTCATTTATATTTTAATTATTTTCAAAAATATATGAACCTTATGAAAAATATATTAATCCAATTCAAGCAGACATCGACAAAAAGGAATGCAGATGCAAATGCACTTAAATGCAACGTCATAATAATAACAATTGAATAAACAAGTTTATAAATTTGGAAAATAACCTTCAGGTTGTTTGTAAATAGTAATGATTATTTGTGAAACATAAATATACAGAAGATAAATATTTACACAGACAGCTAAACCGATGGCCTTAAAAAATATACATTTTAAAATATTCTGAACTATCAAGAATACAAGCTTCAAATGTATAAACGATAATCACCCTAATTTATTTTTCAACAAATTATTAACACAATGATTTCCAGCAACACATTAACAACTTAGGAAGAACCTTTCATGATACCTGGTTATATACTTTTCAATATCATATTAAATAGATATAATATAGTTTTATTAATTAATAAAAATTTTCCAAATAACAAATTTTTTAATTCTCACTTCATAAAAGCATGGAGTCTGAAATAAAATAAATTTTTAGAACATATTTTGTATTACGTTGTCATTATTAAACATAAGTCTTATTAGATTATGGTGCATCCTGAGAAGAAGCGATTAGTTTTTTGTTGGTTTGATAGACACTAAAGAATAATTTGTAAACCATGGAGATATTTCAAGTTCAAAATTAATTTTAATAATCATTAATAAAAAAAAAATATTGACTCATGTTTTTCACAATTTCAAATTAAGTTGAGCAATTAATTTTCTAATTAGGTTTATTGATTAACTAATTTTCATAATATTTCATAAATGTGAAACTGAATTTTTATATCATATAACGAGAGAGAGAACCGACTCAAATAAATAAATTAAATATAAAAAAATATCTTGATGGAATTTCTATAATTTTGACAGCATTAAATTTGTTTTCCCAATCCCTCGACCTTCTATTGGTACTCAGCTGATAACTTAACAAATGGCTGATATAACAGTTGTTTGTTTTCTATGAGAAATTTACATTTTTGATATTAATGTTATGAAAACCAGCTTGAATATTTTTTTTTAAATAAGTAAAATTTAGCAAAAAATGAACTGTGTGTACTAGAGCCCTCGACACGGAAGATTATAAATAACCATCGAGCCAAAAAAGTTGTATTTACAATTTAAAAAATCATAATTCTGATTTTTATTTTTTTATTTTATTCAATACTAAATTAAGAATCTTAATTATATAAAAATAACAATATAAAAATTTGTAAATAGCGACATCAACTGTGGCAGTAATGACATAGTGTTTTCATGTATTTTACTCAACTAAACTGCTGTAACGTGTTATAAACATAGTGTTACTCTAAACCATATTTTAATACCTGATAGTTAAAATTAAATTATAATAAACAAAATATTTGTATTTTTCTTCTCATCTTTCAAGCTATACAGGATTTTTCCAGCCCGCTTGGCCACTCTGCTCCAAAATAAATTATTTGTGAATGCATGGAGATAATGTTCTTGCATGATCTACATTCCATGCTGGTGAAATATCTCTTAGCTAGAGACTGACAATTTACTTGAAAATACAATTCCCACAGTTTTCTTTTTGTCAAGACTTTATTTTTGATGTTTTGTTTTTTGCAAGAGGATTACATCAAAGTAAGTGGACAAAGTTTCTAAAGTACATAAACATACTTCACTTTAAAAAGAAAGAAATATGGCACAGAATGCTATAATAAAAATCCTTGAAAGTGGAAATTAATTTCACTATCATTTAACACAGATTAAAATTAAAATTATATATGTTTACTAGAAAATTGAATAGAATACTGCATAGTAATGACATTTCAGTAGCTTAAGCCATTATAAAGTCAAATTCTTTATTATTTACATTTTTAATATTTCATTACAAAGAAATGTTACTTCGCTTTATTAACAGTGGGGGAAAAAATCAGGTCAGACTGAATTTTTGGAGTGAAAATTATAGTGAACTGAAAATTTTCCATAATTCGAAAATCATCCTTATAAAGCTGCTTATAGTTAACTATCTCTATTATAATTCAGATATGGACAACATTATACTCATTTTCTTTTAAAAATTTTGATTAATTTAAAAATTATATACTAAATAAAAATAAAACCTATAATAAGAAGATGAAATGATAAGTTAATAGTTTTTTTTTATTGCATTTCATAAATTATTTAATAACTAAAATTTATATTTATTAAGCCTATTTTTCCTCACACTAATTATTCAAATATATGAAAAATAATCGTATTAAATTATCTGAAAATACAAGTTGACTGATAAGATTAGATATAATATGAAAAATTACAAAATAGCAAATACAAATTTAAAAAACAAAACAAAAGTAATACCTTTGATACAAGATTTTTTTTCTTTGGCAGAAATTTCATTCCTACGTATGCTGCTTGTTGTATGCACCATCCATGGTATTTTCCTAAAGTATTAGAATATGAATCATAACCAATGGCACTAGTTTCACTATCGAGATCGGTTTCTCCTATTCTCCTCAAAAATGTTCTAATAAAATCTAAAAATAGAAAAAAAAGAGAGCTGCTTCTATAATGTGCCATATCAAGTCAAAATAAGAAGTTAATTATTATTAATTTTAAATAAAGCACTTCATAAATTTTGTAAAAACCTAAAGTTTATACACATTAGGCCTATTTTTCTTTCATACTTGGAAGCTCTTGAGTGAGAAGTGATTATTTTTTTTTTTACAACATAAAATATAGGATATTTTCTGCTTTTTGTATCTTCAGTCATTTAGAAAGTTCTAGTAAAAATGATATTGAAAAGGTGAAGGTCAGACAAAATTGTAACTAATTGATTTATAGGTACTTCAAGAAAACAAATAAACTATTTTTAAAAATCTTAAAATGGCTTTAAAGAATTACAGATATATGACCGAAGTAGATTGATAAAACAAACATGTATTACTTTTTATACTTTTACACTATGTTTAATTTTTTTTTTTAAATTACCACCATAAATAATTAATAAACTGTGAAGTAAAATGTAAAAAAAAAGAAAACATTTAAAAAATAATGATTTTAATGTTCATTAAAATTTCATAAAACCTGATTATTTGGGCTAGATAAACTCAAATAAAAGTTTAATATTCATTGTCATAAAATTAAATCAAATATTATTATCATTTATGTAATATATGATAATTTTATTTTTTCAAATTTTGCTTTAGAAAACATATTACAACCTGAAACATAGCATAGTTAATTTAAATTTATTTATTTATTTGTGTACAATTTAAATTGTCTATTTTTTAAATTATTAAATATAATTCATAATTGTACACATTATTTTTTAATTATTGTAACATACATCACAAAAATATAGAAACAGTATTATGTCTATGTATTGATTGACAGTTATGAAGCAGTCTAAGTTATATTAAATTATAAGAAGCTTTGATTTAAAATATGATTTCAAGGGCAGAATTTATTTAATAGCATCAATGTGTTATCTTGACAGAGTCCACTCCAACTCAATAAGCGTTCCGATTTTGGGACAATCATAAATTTTATAGAAATGATTGTTTATTGCCTATAAAAATAGATCTATAAGAATTTTAAAAAAGTGTATATTAAATAAGAAAAACAAAGCATTAAATAGGAGATTGCTTATTTACCTAATCCTCGATGTAACCTCAAAAAAGTCCGACAACCAGAAACATAATTTTTCTTATGTAGTAATTGAGATTCATTTTCATACTCTATCATCTTTTTTACAGTTTCAAAATGATCATCTTGGCAGTTATTTCTCAGCTGGTGCATAATTTCCGATTTACTGACTATCTCATTTTTAACAAACGAAAATACTGGTCCCAAGAAACCACAGAACCTAAATTAAAAATATATTAAATATTGAGGATTTTTTTAAAAGGCAAAGCTTAAAAATAGAATTAGTAAACAAAGAGAGTTTTTTTGTTACCATATTGGGGCTTTAAATGCATTTTAATGGTAATTATTTGATTGATTTATTTTTATAGATTGAAGGAAATTGACGATTTTAGGGACATACTTGCACAGTTCCTTATAAGCTTCCAGATAGAAACCAATATCAATGTCCTCATCCTCTAACAAGGACGAATTGAAGCTTTCATAAGTCTTCCTGATATCAAAATAATCTACTGCTTCCGTCATTTTGTAATAATTTTTATCTTAGGCCGATAAAATTATGTATAAATCAATAAATAACAGTTCAACTACACAATTGTGATTATCCTCTTCCAAAACATGAACGAGCTCAGCTCTGCCTTACAACCTCCCACTTGACAACTAAACCACCAGCGCGGCGAATCTTTATTTAATAGCAGCTTCAAAAGGATAACGCTTGGGGCGCTGTGTGTCCTACGCAAGGTGGCACCCAGTCTAGAGTTATACTTTTTTTCAAAATGTAGAAAAACCATTCTTTTTTTTATTTGTTGGCATATGTATTAGCTGTCTGAAACATTATATTAATTTAATCAAGATATTTTTAATTTTTAACAGTAGAAAATAAGATTTTCAAGAATGATATTTGATTTTGAAGGGAATATTTTATGTCATTTTCGTTATCACTACTTTTTTGTGTTTTCGTTGCGATTTTCCATTGTAATCAACAGCAGTTATTTCACCTAAAATACTGTGTTTTTTTAATAAGATAATAACAATAAATAAAACAATGTTATATCATCGAAATGCAGCTGACCGCAAGTCTTATCTAATAAATCTAAAAATCATTTTTTTTTATTATACAGATTGTGACTGCGTACACTTGCATCTGTTATATTATATTATAGTCTGTTACAAAATTTGATTTTATAAATTAAATAAAAAGGAAAGGGAGAGTAGAGAAATATTTCATTTCAAATTAAACGATTAGAGGCCATCTACATCAATTATTCGTATTCCTTTTTTAATTAATCAATTTGGCCTTTAATTAAGTACATCTATTAGGGGCGCAGCAACCCGTTGTTGAGTCAAGGCCTCTTGAATTAGGCTACGTACTGTTTACGATCTTGTGAAGTGACCATTCAATTCCTCACTCCAGGTAATGACCGGAAATCGTGGGAGACTCTATTTCGCCTCCGCATATTAGGCCTTCTTCCTTTAGGACTGGAGGATTAACGAGCAGAGGGAGGAAAGAACACTTTTCAGGCTGAAGTCTCTTAAAACAGAAATAGGGTAAATGCAATAGTAGCTGACATCAGGGGGCCCCTCCCCCCACGAGGTTGATGGCGCACAAGTTTAAGTGTCTTGGCATGGTTTCAAGAGTTTTGTAAATTGATTTTTTAAAATTTTGTATATAGCATGTTTAACTAATATTTTCTTTACTTATTTCTCTTTATTTTTACTTTTTATGTTTGTTTTTATTTGGCCAGATATAATATTTTAATTTTGTACTTTTTTGTTATTCTAAAGGGACTTCGTCCCAGAATAAAATTATTTTCTATTCTATTCTATATTGAGGTCTAGAAGGTCCTAAAATCTTATTATTTCCATTTTTAGAAGAGGATGTCAGGTATTGGTACACTGTAACACTAGCGGATCCAGGATTTAATTTTTTGGGGGAGGGGGGCTTAAGCCCGAAAGTTTTTTTTTTCATAAAAATAACGATAATTACTTTGGAAAAACAGAAAGAAACTAACTACCTATATGAAATGGTGTTTAAGTGATTCCTTAATTCCTTTTAAATGTAATTAAACGAACAATAATATTTTAAGAGGTATTTAAAAAAAAAAAAAATCCGTAAAACATGGTTATATTTTACCATTTTTAGGGGGCTTCAGCCCGAAAGGTCCCCCTCCCCCCTCCCCCCACGTAGATCCGCCCGTGCTCTGTAAACAGCCTATATATATACTCTTTTTAAAGTATAATGTATATACATCTACTAAATGTATGAAGCCTGTGCCAAGAAAATGTATCTCTAAAAGTATTGATAGTTGAATTATCGTTTTATTTATTTTATTTGTTTTCAAGGACCATTTAAACATCATTTAATATAGTTTTTTTTTTCAGAAAAATTAGCGCTATTAAAAAAAAAAAAACACAATGAAATTCTAAATTCGCCACTGGGTCAGGGGAAGAGCTTTTTCTGAGAGGTGATGGCAAAGTGAGGCGCGAAAGGTTATTTGATTACTTGGCACTAGCGGATCCAGAATTTAATTTTGGGAGAGGCTTCAGTCCGGAAGCTTTTTTATTTCATATATATAACGATAATTACTTTGAAAAAACAGAAAGATACTAACTGCCTATATGAAATGGTGTTTAAGTGATTCTCGAAGTCCTATTAAATGTAATTAAACGAGCAATAATACTTTAAGACATATTTTTAAAATATTTTTTACCATAAAACATGGTTACATTTTACCATTTCGGGGGGGAGAGGCTTCAGCCCGAAAGCCTCCCCCGTAAATCCACCTGTGTTACTTGGTAATATTTAAAAAATATGAAATTTTCTAATTCACTAAAAAAAACGAGGTTACCACAATATTTATTGCGTGATTTAAGAAATGTTTCTCTTTGAAAGCCAATTTTATAACTGAAGTGTCATTTATGGAGCAAGATATATTTTTTTTTTCATCTCCAAGTCATAGGTCTCAATATTGTCCACGGGAAAAAAGTTTGAAGATTTGACGTAGACCTAGAAAGCATCCTCGGACTTGCTAATTCTAGGCCTAATTTCCTTGAAAAGGCATTTTTCCTATCATCTTGACAGCAGAGTTATAATAATTCTTTAAATTTCTTGAGTATGTAGTCCTCTATTAGGACTTCGTCGCCGTGTACAGCTTGCTCTCAAGAAATAACTAATATATACATACTTAAGTATTTTTTTATATTCATTTTTGGAATTTATGATTCAAGTGGACATCTAATCAGGAAAATAGTGTGAAAGATTTATATTTAGATCCTAACGAAAAAAGTACGATAATATGGATACATATTTACAAACCAATGTAATGTAAATTAAAAATAAATAATTTGTATGTACATCATTTGTTAATCCTCTGGTTCATTATGTAAATGCTTTTTTTTATTAATTAAAAAAAACTGCTTTAATACTTTTTGTTCCAGCTTTGAACTTCACTAATAGATATTCAGAATCTGAATGTTTATTTAATAATAAATATTTCGGATTTTATTGAGAAACATCCTATGATAACGAATTTGATATGAAAATAAGAAATGTTGTGAGCAGGCCATACACGTCACAAAATATATCGCGCAGTCTTGCAGATCCAAGTGTGCTCACTTCATCTCGAGTTCTATGGTCAGAAGTCTTCCTTCCTTCAGGTTACAAATATAGATTGTTGATACTTGGCAATTTGCTCCGCTATGACGGAGTTGATGATGAACAAATCAAACATTTACCTTAAGATAAGTTAGGAATTAGTTAAATGAAGATCTTGAATCTTCGTCTAGCTAAATATATCCATATTTTAAATACTTCCATGGATAAACTGGCAAGTGAGTGTTTACCTGATATTCAACGTTTTGAATATCAAGTGGCTGGCCACAAGACAGATGACTCTGGGTGCAGTGGTAATAAAGTACATATTTTATTTTAATTGTATTATAAATATATCTGGAGTATCATAACTGTTTTTGTTATAACTGTCTGTAGAACATTTTTTTTTCTTATCTTTTCTTCCATTTATCTTCAATTAAGGACTCTTAAAACATAAGGATGGCTATGTGTTGAAACCTATTCCCAAATCACCCCAAGGTGATAATGAAATCTCATTTTATGAAAGAGTGAAACATGATGTTAAGTTGCTTCCGTTACAAAGGTTCATTCCTGAATATTTTGGTTACTCATTCTTGAACATCAATAATGCAGGTAATTTTATCTATTTTTAAATTTGATTCTTTTGATACAGTGATGAGTAGTTAGGAACAATGATGGCTAAGCAAATTTGGGTTCCAGGATTCCAAATTCAAGTGCCTAATCATATCAATTTTATTTTTCATCATTCTCACTCTGCTTATAAAATGATGACAACTTTTAGATGGCCTTGGGATTTTTAAAATAATTCTTTAGGGTCCTAGTTCACAAGTGTCAGATCTGGTTATCGGTGGATGAAGATCGCACTTTATATAGGATCCTCAAAGTAGCTCTGAGTGTATCTGATTTTGTACATGGTCAATCTTCAGACCTTTCCAAGAAATTAAATTTAGAAAGTATTCGATGATAAATTTGAAATAATATATTCCGTTTATAAGGATTCCTGCTTGGTAAGGTCGTGACCCATAAAATTATTTTAATATTTAAATATTTTCAAATTCCATCTAGCTTGTAATCTTTGGTTACTCGATAAATGGGAGGGGTAACATTTGTTGAAAGCACGTGTTGCCCGGTGAAACCTGTGATGAACTGAAGAATACTTTTAATTCTGGCATTTTCCTCCCATCCTCTGGACCAGGAAAATCCCATGTATCCCAAAAGGCAAATAAGGAGAGACAAAAACAGAAATTCAAGTTGTGAACTAGTACTGAATTTCTTATCAAAAGATTTAAATGTTTAATATTTCATAAATTTTTCCAATCTTTAAAAGATGTAGCTGGCTGCTAATAGTGTGTTAGGTATTAGGAACATTAATTTTTAGTTCTTGGATGCCTTGTGTGATCAATACCAATCTCTAAATTAACACATTATCAGTTGGAGTTATGGGAAAAAATTATTTAAGCATTTTTTTTTTTTCTGTTAGCATTATCCTGCTCCATCTCTGCCTTAACATGCTGTGCCCATCTTAATCTCCGTGTCTTCATTTCATGGGATATTGATTGACCAGCTTCGGTAAGCAGTTCTTTATTGGTCTTTCTTCTCTATGTGTTAGTACTCTGATCCCATATCGCTCTGGTTATCGTGCGGAGGATTTTCCTCTCAAATCTTTCAGCACTTTATTCTAGAGTGCTGGTTAGTGTCCAGGTCTCACAGCCATATATTAGAACTGACTTTATCATAGCATTGTACACTCTTAGTTTGAGATTTTTGGGATTTCGATACCTTTGAGAGGGAGGAGAAGCTCTGTGCTAGTTACACGCTGGTCTATTTCTGCTTGTTGATCATTCATTGAGGTTATTGTGGAGCAGAGATATTTGAATTTTTCTACTCTCGGGAATGATTTTCCTTCTACACAGTTCCTGTTGTTGTGGTGGGATTTTTGGATTATTATCATATATTTTGTTTTGTCTTCATTTATTTATAGGCTGATTTGCTCTGCCTCTCTTATAAGTATTATAGCCAGTTTTTCTATGTCTCTTTAATTACTTTACGATATGCTTGATGACTTAAGCATATACTTTAAAAATAAAGTTCTACTGTAATTAGAAATTTATAAATATTAACTTTCACCATATTTTATTTATACATTTTCAAAAATTTAATTTTGTTTGAAACTAATTAATAATCTTAAAAGAATCGTTCAGAACCTCTCTACTCAATCTTAAACATCTGATAGAAACCATGGTTGGTTGGCTGATAGAAACCATGATTCGACCTATTGGTCAAAAACATATGTTTGTTCAACTGTATCTATGTTTTAATAGTTAAACAAAACATTTATGTAACTAATATAAATCATAAAGTTAAATAAATTTATTACAGATATCAGATTTTTGAAGTTGCAAGATATAACTAACCAATGTTCGAAACCTTGTGTGATGGATGTTAAAATAGGAAAACAGACTTGGGAACCAAGTGCAACTTTGGAAAAACGTAAATCTGAAGATGTAACTCTCCAATTCAAATATATATTTTGTTTTACAGCAATAAGAAAAGCTCATAATAATAATATATTTTTTTTCAGGCCAAATATGCTGTTTCTAAAAGGGAATTTGGGTTTTGTATTCCAGGATACCATGTCTTTGATATTAAATCAGGACTGGTATTTAAATTTGGCAAGGAAGAAGGAAAGAGATTAGGAAGAGAATCAACCATTGCGGGTGATATTTTTATGTTCTTTATGAGATAATTGATTATGTATATAAATTTTATATAAAGTTTATGATACTTTCACAAGTAGGTAACAGTAATGATTTGTTGTTCTATATTTGTGTGGTCTTCAAGTGCTCACTAAATTAAATGTTATGTGCAAATTAGTTTATTATTTGAAGTCTTCATTAATCTAAATTACAGCTTTCTCTTAAAATTCCAACTTTCCGGATTTTTAACAATTAGAAATATAATATTTTTTTAAAAGTTTTATCCTACTTGAAGGCTCACTGGTCATTTATTATGTATATATATTTTAGGGTTAATAGAATGTAATTACGAAGAAATAAATAAATAAATTTTATTTTATTTTTTTTTGTTTTGAGAATAACACTGGTGAGAGTACTGATGCCTTCTGGCACACTTCACATATCATTATTTTTATTAAAATAAAATTTGCTATACTATGGCTTCTGCCTCATTACCTCCAAAGGCCAGTAAATATTTGTTGAAAGGTTAATTCATTAGCAACTATAACGCAACACTGATTAAACAGGACATGTATATCTGTTTATTTGATGTATATTGCCTTAATTCCCAGATCCACTATGTACCTAACTTTAAAAGCATTATTGTTCGTGTAATTACATTTAATAGGACTTCAACAATCATTTAAATACCATTTCATATAGGTATTTAGCTTCTTTCTTTTTCTTCCAAAGTAATTTTAGTCATATTTAAAAAAAAATATATCTTTCGGGCTGAAGCCCCTCAAAATGAAATCCTGGGTCTGCTTGTGCCAATAGGATCCTCAACTGTTATAATTTAACTAACCATTACTATTATTTTTTCAGCTTTCAAGCAGTTTTTCAACTATTCTTGTGGATTTTCTTCAATTATTGTAAAACATATTACGAGTCAGATGGCCGATCTCCTGGATTGGTGGAATTCACAGAATGTTATCCATGTTTATTCAAGTTCTCTATTACTTGTATACAATGCTGAAAAATTAGAGGGATTGCTATCAGGAGCTTTAAAAGAAGAAGAACTGATAACAGATGGCTCATGGGTCAAGATACGTATGATAGATTTTGCTCACGTTGTTCCTGCTAACAACCTAAATGACCACAATTATATTTCTGGTCTTTCAAACTTAATTGCCATTTTAAAAAGTATTATGTAATTTAAATGACCTATATATTTTTATATGCTAGAGATGTATGTATATTTTTTCATTTTAAGAATTGAGAACGTAGAAAGTTAATATCTATATTTTTATGTTAAATTTTCAAAGGATATTTGTTAATAAAACTTGCTATATTAAAAAAAAATCTATAAAATTTAATGCCTTGTTATTTTTAATTTAGAAGAATTTGAAATATATGTTAATTTCTAATAAATGATTTTGAATAATTACCATTTATATGTTTTGTGTTAATTTATGTACCCCGAATATTACTTTCTTCTTTTAAGATACAAGATAGAGCAAAACAATTTTGAAAATTGGAAACCTTGCTCAACCAATGGAAGGTGGTTGGTACTTCAGCATCATACATAAGCTTTCAAAGCTTTCTATCAAAATAGTTGTTCCATTTACATGTGTGCAGACATGCCCTGTTTTTTTTCACCAATTGTAAATGTATTGTAAATAAATCTATGAATGCCATCAGCCTGTATGATTAAAATGTTTCAATATATTGAAATTTAGTAATATAGGATGCTATTGGAGTTCTGGCAGGGGCCAGGTTCTTAAGTCTTGAGTGTATGTCGTTTTAGCGTTCTCATTCAGCCTTCATTGACTTTCATATAGTGATGGGATGGAGAGAGAAGCGCTGGGATCTCTTTGAGTCCTGCTTTCCCTTTCACATGAGAGCAGAAAAGCATGGTTCAGGGTTCTCCAGCCTGAATGTAAATATTGTATGTAGCAATGAATGTATGACAAGTATTTCTTTTTCTTTTTATTATCCGTTTAATATGTTTTTTATTTATAATTATTTTATACTTTTGTTATTCTTTAACTGGATACTTCTTATTTCTTTTTTCTCAATTTGTACATGTTAGTATGAATGTACACATAGAGCCTTAATACCCAATGCCCTGGATTGTGGCAGTTTGTATTATTATTCTTCCAATAAAAAAAAAATAACCAAAAAGAAAGTTATGTTGGAGACTTCTTCAGCGAGAATAAAGAAGTCTAAGATTTAAAAGACATTGGATCTTCCTTAAAACATCTCGTAAAAATATGGATTGTTTAAGAATTGTAGAATCGAAGTAAGTTTGCACTCAGCTTACTAGCATGAGTAATGCTTGCCAAGAAGAATATTTATACCTGGCAGGATACATCCACCACCTAACTTTATCATTATTTTCAAAACTTAGCTATATTTACTTAATTTTTTTATGCTTTGATAATTAAAGGTGTGGTAAAAACACTATTATTACTTACCTAAATTTTATGTGCAGCAATTAGTTTTTTCTACTCGAAAGTATGACAACATAATACTAAATAAATACGTATATCTCAATATGATTAAAATTAAATTTTTTAACTAGTTTTTGTTTCTGCTAAAAAAAGATTTTTCAGTTATGTGGTTTCACATTGAGATCGAAGACTTACTAGTGTTACCTGAAATAGCAATATGCAACACTTATCGTGTTAAAATAAACAGTTGCTTAAATATCAATTATAAGGTAACAACCTATCCTGAAAAATTATTTATTCTAGATACCAGTTTAGAAAAAATTATAGGAACAAATTTGGCCAACTGACATGGCAATATAGGGATAAATATTTTTTGAGGGGAAACTAAGTTAGTATTCATTTATCATTCCTCAAAAAAACTCATAAATTCGAAATTTTATAGCAATTGAAACATTGAAATTTTTGCCTTGATTGAACACTAAAAACGAATGTAACTTAATTTTTCTCAACAAAAAATTACATGGCTTATTTCACTGGAAGCCCGTTTTGGTTTTTGTTATTTAAGATAATTCATAACTCATTTAATACCATAATCAATATTTTTTTTTATTCTGAATAGAAAAAAATGAAATTGATTGGTATATAATAACCTAAAAATCCGGACAAAGCAAAGGAAAAAAATTAATTTTGTTTGAAATTATATAACATTTTTTTTTTCTTGGCCGCTAGGACACATTGGCAAAAACCTCGGACATAGGTCTAATATTTTTCGACCTACCATCACTAAAAAAAATCATCATTGGAATCTGTGACCCCACGTCCCTTATGAGTCATATAATTTGTTATGCGGTATGGTATATCTGTGGCGCCTGTCCGAAAATCTTGAAACGATCAAACAAAGTTTATTTTTATTTTCAAAGCATTGTGCATTGCAGAACTATATTGAATAATTTAATAATATATAAATATTAAACATAATTCGCTGCAAAAAGAGTGGTATAGACTTAAGGAAAGGAATAGAATTAGTCCAGGAACATTTGTTTCAGACTCTACAAGCGTGTCTCTCACACTTCAGTGAGGTAGTGAAGAATAATATAATATTAAGGAGAATATGATAAATATTAAAACAAACAAAAATTTCAATTTCGTTAAAGTTTTAAGGATCATAAGTCCCAAAAGAGTCATGTACCAATTTAGTTACTAATTACACGAACACAAACGTCAAAACAGAGTGTGAATTAGTTTCATTCATTTCTTGAGGGGAATTGAAATCGGCAGAAAATAATGTAATATAAACAATTCATAAAAACGAATTAATCTTTTCGTCGTTACTAAAACCTATTGACACCATTATATAGTTACGATGATACATTAATTTCAATATAATTTTAAATGAGATCTTTATGGACCCTTTTCTTACGTTACGTTAATGACTTATGAATATTTATCTTAATTATATTCAAAGCTTTTCCCTCAAAATATCTTTAATTTAATGCTACATTTAGTGATTCTCCTCAACAGATAAAAAAGTTAGTAAACAATCTATTTTTCTTTATAATTATTTTCCAAAGACGATATATTGAAGTTATTAATCTTAATTAATAACGTTGTTAAAATCTTTTTTAGTAGAATTAGTAAATAATCAGTTTTATTCTTAAAAGAACTGGATATAAATTCGAAGGCAATCCTAGACAACTCCCGCGTTTCTTGTTGTCACTGGTTAGGTTACACGAGTTGATAAGGGACTTGATAACGTAAACACAATCAAAGTTTGTTTGGAACAGATTTCTATAGATACAAGTAATGTAAATACATCTAAATGACAATAACTATCTGAAACAGTGCAATGGAGGATTTACTTTTACAAATTTCTAATGAATGCTCCAATAATAAATTATCACAGCTTAAAACTGCATCTACAACAGCATATGGTAAGGAAATACCTATTAGTCATCAGAGTTAAAGCCTACTTGGCTTTTATATTAATAAAATCTCATCCATTCTAGATTTGCTTCAAAATCAAAATAGTCTTTTGCGCGAACCAGCCCACGAGCTGAGAGCGAAATGTTTTAATGTATTCCAAATAGCACTGGAGACCAAAAAGAGTAAGTTCGTAGCACTTGCACTTTCTGGATTTCATGTAAGTTTATTTATAGACCTATAATATAATTTTATAAGTTATTTTTTCTTGTATATTTATGTTTTATACTATTTTTCTCAGAAAATCCTACGAGATGATAGATTTCAGTCCAATTTCGAACCTGAAGATGATTCTTTATGGATGCCTTCCCAATTCCTTCATGCAGTGTCTTCCATATTATCACAGTCTGATGATACCCAAGTTGATATTCTGAAAGTGAGTTACTTACGTCCAATCTTTTGAAAATTCAATTTTTCATTTTAATAGATTTTTTTTAAACAATTACTCACTTAGTTAAGCTTATTCTTTGCCTTATTTATTTTAGGTTTTATTAAATGTAGCATGTTCCACTTATTGGACAATAAATGGTAGAATTATTATTCAAATGTTAGCATTATGCTGTGAAGTTTATGAATGTGGAACAGAAGCAGTAAAAACAGCTTCACAAGCAGCTGCTAATCAAACCTTGCGTGCTTTCTGCCATGTACTAGGTAATTTGAATTATTTTTTTGGTAAATTAATTTTTTGAATGTATAATTGTTTATTTTTTTTTTTAAACTATATAATGGGATCTGCATTTGATCTGAAAAAATGGAACTACTATATTATTTTAAAAAATACATTGTTTTCTAATGTTTTTATTGATTGTCTGATAATTTGGTTGATAATTAGAAATGTTAGACATTTGATTGTGATGGTAAATTCAAATTATAATTGTTTGTAGGCCTATCAGTTTAAAATATAATAAAATCATAATTTAGCAGTAGCCTAGCTCAGGAAGTGAGCTACAAAGTTTGGCTTGAATGTAGTTATAATAAAATAAACACTATTCGTTTATTTTTATCAAGCAATGGTTTTTAGTAGACAATATTTGGGACAATTTAAGTGGTTCATAGTCAATTGCTATGTTAGTATTGTTGGCTCCATAATTTTTAATGTGACCAACTATCTGTTGAAAATTAAACATATTCATAATATCTATTTTGTGGAATGTCAGAATCAATATAATGAATAGCTCTTATATTTCATTTTCTTTTGTAACTGAATATTACAGTATTCCAGTTGCTGTTGATTGCTAACAATAATAAGATAGAGGTATCTTATCTTTTTTTTTCTCTTGAAATTGTTTTAATTTTATTGTTTAAACAAGAGATTTTCAACATTTCTGTGTCAAGAACTCATTGGAAGTCATACCTCTCCATTTTATTTATATTTTAGCAGTCACACTTAATAATTGTTATAAAATTTTCAAATATTAAAAATTTGTTTGCCTATATTATTATTAATATTAGTTCTGAAGTCACTAAATTACTAGCTCTACAGTAATGAAAAACTTATTTTTAAAATAGTAAAAATGAATAGATCAGTGTAATCCTAGCATATGTTCCTTAACAAGTGAGAAAATGACTAATTTTGAATGTAAGTTGATAAATGACATATCCCTTAGATTACAAATATAAACAATGTTGCTTTTTTGTTGATAGGTCAATCTGTTTTTATTTACACCCTAATGAGACTAAACAAACGCAGTAAACATTTTATTATTACAGTTTTATTTTTAATTTAATTCAATAAATTTCCAATAAGTGCTTTGAATTTGAAAGCTTACCTTGAAACTTTCAGTGTGAGATTCATTTTATGGAAATATCTCGTGTGTGGATGCATATTTCTTTAAAAAAATGTATATTGATATTTTTTTTAACCATTCACGAAACAACTTCTAGGCGGCTGATTTGAATACGAAATATATCCCTTTGAAGCTAAAAGGGTACTGAAGACAACATTCACTGACAGGCATTGAAGATGTCTATCTCCACCACATACAAACTTCTGAAATAGCAACGGAAAAGGAACAAAAGTTGTTATTTATGGGGGATCACTCGTCTGTAGGAAAAGATCATAGTGTCCCTCCAGACCATTTGACCCGAGAGTGTTAAATTATAATTAAATTTTATCATGTTATATCGCTGGACAAAAATAATTTTTTAATAATTTATTTGACTTCCAAGGAATTATATTTTAACATTTATATATATTCTTTAATATATTTTAAAAAGTTAATATAGTTTTCCAGACTAAACATATAAAATAAAGTAGTTCCAAATTTTTTAATTTTTATTTGTTTCTCAACTCCTAAGGTCCATTAGACGAAACAAACAACTACGTCTTGATTTGTTTTCAATGTTGAATTACAAAATTTGTTTATCAAAATCTTCAAGGGACACATTGTGCACTATCCTTGTTAATTCAGGTTCTTAAGATAAATCTTTTTTTTTTATTATTATTTTAATGGAATTTACAACTGTATTACATAGAAAATACAATAAGTAAATGTGAAATTGGTAACAGGACATGTACAACATGAAGAGAAACTACCCATTGGTAGAACTCAAATTAAAGTTCTATATTAGAAGATCCCGAGGCCATCTTCTTTTCAGACTCAGAGGGTTATCAGGGATTGAGGAGGAAGCAAGGTTAGAAACGAGAGGATTCGGATGGTTCTGCAGTTTGTTATGGAAGGACAGGTATCTGGATTGAGCCAAATCGGAAACATATGGAACATTAAGGTCTTTATGGATGATTTTATTTGTGACAAAGTAAGGAGCGTTGAGGATTTTACGAATGATTTTGGATTTTAAGGATTGAATACAAAAGGAATTCGATGGTTTAGTGGAGCCCCAAAGCTGAATTCCGTAAGTCCAAATAGGTCTTATTATTGCCATATATATGAGTCGTTAATAATTGATTGAAAGCTTAGATCGTTTGTCTAGTAAGTGCTGCATAGTCGAAAAGTTCGGGCGGTTTCTAGTCGTTTCAGTCTGGTATGGGGGTTTCAAGTGAGTCGTTTGTCAAGGTGGAATCCTAAGTATCGGGTTTGTTCGACAGGGATAAGAGGGCTATTGTTGAAGGATACTGTAGGACAGGAAGTCATAGGTTTACGACGAAGAGTGAAGGTAATTTGATGGGATTTATTGGAATTTATTTTAATCCTCCAGTTTTGACACCATTTTTCAAGGCTTGTGATGTGTGATTGAAGAGTTTGGGATGGAATAGATAGATCGTTATTAACTGATAGGATACACTTGTCATCGGCATAGGTGATGATGACAGTGTTGGAGAGATAAATCTTAAATATATTTTTGTTAAGTTGAATATTTAATAGTTGACCGTTGCATTATAAAGGAAGGAGATGGTCCAGGGTTGCGGTCATAAAAAGGCTAAATAGTTTTACCACTATTTAGCCTTTTTATAACCGCAACCCCGGACCATCTCCTTCCTTTATTTTTGTTAAGGTTTCATTACAGAAAATTAAAATTTTTGAAAGATAATAAACTATTTGTATTAAAAAATAAATATAAATTATGCTTCTTGTTTATAATCACTTTATGAAATTTATATTTTTTATTTATCTTGTAGTTTTATTAAACTGGTTATAGAATGCTGCTGTTGGTGTGTTAGTGTAAACAACTTTGTCCAAGTATTCGCGCCGAAGTTTTTGTTCTTTACCAAGTGTTTCATTTTGTTTATACATCATTCTCAGTTCTTCTTTCTTCATCTCTTCTTTTTGTAAATCCATAAAATGGATGTTTTTATTCAACCTGTCGGTGAAGTCGAGCCAATATTTCTCATAGGCCAGTTCTTCCTCCTTCTTGGCCCTTAATTCTTCTCTTTGTTGTTCTTGTATTTTTAAAATTTCTTTCTTCTCCTCTTCTGACATTCCTTTGTAAAGGGAGCCTACCTGTTTCCCTTGACCTAGGTTGCTCTGGGCTACATCAGTATTTTCGCACAGTAGATCGCTTGTTAGAGCGTTATTGATTTCTACTTTATTATTTTCTCGTTCCATTTGCTCTCTCAACTTTCTCTCAGTCGCCTGCTCATAAGAAAGAGCTTGATTGTAGGCTACTGTAGCTAATTCAATCTGTCTTCTACAATCTCTATTAAGCTTATCCATAACTTTGGCCCTAGTGTCACGAGTTTTTATCGTTTCTAATAACAGTTTATCCGATTGTTTTCTCTGGTTTTCTAAATTTTTTTTTTCTACAATCTGTTGGACTAGCCAATTTTTTTGCTGTTCTTTCTTTATTTTATCTCTTTCATTTGCTGCACTGTCTTCGCCTTCAAATTTCTGAACTGACGATATCGTCAATCTTGGGTCATCATCTGCTATCCTGCAAGGCAAACTTTTTTTTAGAGCATCTGGATCATTCAAATCGAATTCTCTTCTTTCTTCCTTTCGTTGATGTTCCATTCGAAAACGATTTATTTCATTTAAAACAATTTTCCTATTTTCCTCGACTTGCCTTTGGATATTATTTACAATATAGTTATCATTGAGTTCTTTCATGTATAGAGCTTTTGATTCGGCTAGTTCAGCTTCCTCTCGAGCCTTCTTTTCTTTAATCTGAGCTTGAAGAGCTTCGACATCGACCCCGATTAATCTTTGCCTGGCATTAAAAATTCTCGCCTTCCTTTCTTCATCTAATTTTTTTGTTCTTTCGATCCTCTTAGCCTCCTTTTTCTCTTGAGGTGTGAGCAGCTTAGGGTCAAACATATTTGTGTGAATTTCTTGAACAATATCACAATACAAACCAGATCTTGTATGATTTGGTTGTTAAAATAACTATTTAATTAATATTTTAAGTAAAAAATCTATCATCTGGTTGGTTAAATAATGCACATAGATTTCCATCTGTTTAGTTTAAACATTTTAATTTTTTTTTTTTTTTAAATATTGATAATCATTTCCATTTAATTTTAAAATAAAGATTTATCTAGATAATAATTTTTTAAAGTGCAACATTCACAATTCTGTCAAAACAGCAAATAAAATCATTTACAAACAAAATTAAACTCTTTCCAAACTCATCACTTTGCTGGAGAATCTCTTGAAGATTCTAATCATTGATCATTTTACTGTTAAAATTTGAATTACTGTTTAGAAAAAATAAACAAAAATTTGATAAATTGAAACTTTGATGTTTCTTAAATGAGTAAGGCTCTTTGGGTTATGTTTATTCTGTTACATCATCTGTGGATTGATGCTGGCGTGGATTAGTATGAGGTTAAATATCTGGTGATCGAGCATGATTTTGTCGATTGCACAAACATTAACATTAGAAACAGTATGTTCTATTCACAAGACAATAATTCTGTACAACACAATGTTCTAAACGCAAGACCCTTCATGGGTTATACTGGCACAAATTTTTTTTTTTACATTTAACTATTATAAACAATATTCAATTTGTTTTTTGAAAAGATAAATTTTAGCCATTTTATGAAATATAATACCTCAAGGCAGAAGTCCCCAACCTTTTTTCTTTTTGGGGGTAAATTTAAAGATTAATAGTGTAATTGTGGTCACTGCTTTGTTTATGTTTTTCCTAGAGTTTTCATTGCAGTCTGCGATACGGACCCCTTTTTATCAAATTATTAACATAATACTAAAACTTCAGAAATTGCTTCATCTTATCGTAATCTACAATTTTTTCTTTACCAAAAAAGAATTTTTTAAAATTAGAATTAAAATAATAATAATTAATTTCTTTAATTAATTAATTAATTAAAAATTAAAACAAAGAAGAAGTAAACTTTGTTAAAGGAACTAAAAGATAATAAACATCCGTTTGCTTTCTACTTGAATTGTCAGATAAAAACATTGCCTACAAAAATATTGTACTGTTTATTGTGACCTCCACCTCCAACATATCAAAATAATCACGTTGTATTGGCAAAAAGATCCAATATTTTTGTAGGATACCTTTTTTCTCTATTTTATAATCAAATTATCTTACAATATGAGCCGAAAGCAAATGTATATTCATGAATTTTTAGAACCCGATTAAATTAATTAATTTGATGAGAAAACTCCCCATTTATGAGAATTTCATTTGATAATAATGTTGTAGGTTACAATAATGTGAAGCCATTAATGAAGTTTTAGACGTATGTTAATAATTTGATAAAAAGGAGTTTGTACTGCAGACTATTATTTGATATTGTTAATAATAAAAAAAGAATAATTTTAACATACAAAGAATTATTGATTATATTATTATACAAAATAACTAAATATAAGAAATAGAATAAGAATATATAGAAATAGAATAAGAAATAGAAATGATAATGTGATTGCACTGCATTTTATTGGCTTAATACTAAAATATGAAACAATAAAATATGATACAGGGCATATGAGCATCTGATAGGTCATTAGATATGTAGAACGCAAAATTTAAAAAATCTGATACGGTGCGCGCATCACACAACTTTCACTTACCACCCTATTATTATAGTATAGTATTATATTAATTTCATGATACGTATGGAAGCGTGTTCTAATCTTTCGAGCGAGCTTGGGGTCGTATGCCTCTGGTTCCTCAATTACAACTATTCTCCGTTACTATCTCTTATTTCTCCTTTAGTTATTTTTCAAATTCTTTCATATATTATAGTTAACCATTTTTCATATTAGAAATTTATGTGAAATGGTTAATTGTTTCAAATAAAAAAAATTAAATGTAATTTAGAAGATGCTAATATTGAACATTAGCAATTTAAGCCCTGTTAGAGAACACCAATCAGAATAATAACCACATTTTATTTTAAAATGCTTAATTTTACGCTGATATGATGAATTTAATCAAAATTGTTAGAGCGGTTTTCGAGATAATCGTAAAAATGTGTTTAGTCCAATTATATAAATTGCCACTTCTGGTTAGCCGATTTTGATGAAAATGTTGTTGTAACATCCCTAGCATGTAAAAACCTTAAATAAGCAATTTCACTTCCGTACGACTTTTCGGACTAAAGTGACACACTCACGTGCACAGACCATTTTGTGGAACTTGGTTATTTCGACTCTAGGGACCTCAAAATGTGTATTTCTGTTGAAAACTCAGATTCAAAAACTTTCATGATCGCAATACTTACCCTTACTATATATTACATATAAAGGTAAATGGAAGTAAAAATTGTAATATAGTTCTTATTCTGGAATAATGATGAAGATGAATGGAAAATATTATTCAAAATAATTTGTACTTTAAAGGTGTGTTTAGACATTTCACAAACTATGGGACAAACAAATATATAAATGAGAAGGAGTTGGTCGGGAGGTGAGGGGGGAGAAGGGGGTGCGGTCAAATAAATATTTATTTGACCGCACCCCCCAACCAACTCTTTCTCATATTACATCACAGGCTATCTCTGCATCATTTTAAATATATAAATGGTTATTTCATTATGTTAGTGCTTTTATTCTTGTTTTTGATATTTTCCATCTGCTGTCGGCAGTAAGAGAAATAAAATAAATAGTTTCGTTTAGCAATAATGTCGCTGTTAATTAAGTTAGATACTTATGTTACCCATTCAAGTAATGTTTATGAAATGTCTAAATGCACCTTGAAAGAAATGCGATTATATGAATTAATATTTTATTAGATATTTTATTTTAAAAACTCAGCAACACTAGAATGCAGTTACTGGCTGTTATAGTGATCACCAAGCAGTGGGTTGGAGGATCACTGCATTAATGTAAACAAAAGTTGATTATTTTTTCTTTTTTTAGATGTTGAATCTCAGGAAGCGAAAGATAATAAGATGCATGAAGTGGGAAGTGGAGGAATCGACTGTTTTAACGAGCTTATTCCTATTCTCCAATATATTTGTAGTCGACTAGACGAAGCCCAGAGGTTTTTATAATAATTTTCAGTATAACTTCATTATATATAAAATGATTATACATCTATGTAAAATTTTTATTGTTTTCAGCATACAGAGTGGATCCTCCACACTCCTGCTTCTTGAAGGGCTTCACACCGTTGTCTTAAGCCTTCCACAGAGAGTTCATACGAATTCGCATTTCACTAAATTTCTCTGGCAGAAATTGTGCCCTGTCCTCATTGGGCTGATGTCTTCTCCAAGATCTAGCACTTTGACATTTTCTCGTTTGCAACCTGTTGAAACTCATCCGCACCTTAAAATTATTTACAGGTTAGTCTAACTTTCAGATATCTTTTTCAGTAATTGATTCATATCAAATAAGTTCTAACACCACCTAACTCAATTATCATTGGTTTACAAGAGATTACAATAAAATGCCTAATTAGAGATTAACAAGATTTTCATGTTGCTGTGCATTTTATTCGATTGCATGTAAAAACTTCAAACTCAATTATCTATCTATTTCACGATCTGTAGAATAACATATTGAAATTTTATATTGCACTTTTTGCTGTTTTTTGGCCTAAATTGCATGATCTTAATTTTTGTTGCTTCAAAATGCACATTTTGTGTTGAATTAGATGATTTATCAATACAAATATACATTTTTGTTTAGATATTTATCTGTTTATTTTACTATCTTATCCTTATTAAATTTATAATTTAAGACAGAAAAATATGAGGAAGACAAGTAATTTGTGACTTATAACGGTTCGAATTTAATGTCACAAAATGAAAAAGTAAACACAAGTAGGAAATATTCTTGGAATAGAACTTGCCTACAGTATTGGATGGATACCCATAAAGTACAGTATTGGATGGATAAAAATAAACAAGTGCACTCCTAGAATAAGCTATTTTGTTAAAAAGACATTTATTGTTATTGTTTTGACTTGAATTCTCACTCATTCTTCGGCCCTTCAGTATCCCTTCTGGCTTTGAAGTGAACTTTAGGAATTTTTATTATTCACTCACTCACTCATAAACTGGCACCATAGTCCATATAGGACCTTTGCCTCTATCAACAGCTTGCTCTATTCGGCTCTGTTTATGGCATATCTTCTCCAGCTATACACACCTGAAGTCTTCAGGTCTGCCTCGCCATCATGCAGCCATCGAGACTCCTTCCCCACTTTTGTCCACCACCTGCCTTCCTGTAGTGCAGTTTTTTAGGGATTCTAACGGAGTCTGTTCTCTCTATTTGGCCCAACCACTTTAATTGGCTCAACTGGATATATAAGACGATATCTTCCTCTCCAAACAACTGCTAGAGCTCCTTATTTGTTCTAATTCGCCAGACATCTCCCGCTTTCGCTGCACAGAATATTCGACAATAGATTTTTCTTTCCGAGACTTTCAAAACTCTTATTTTCTGTTGTTAAGTTCCATGATTCACTTCCATAGGTGACAGTTGCTCTTACTGTTTTTATTTAATATTTCCTATTTTCCTTTCTTGGAAGGTTCTTGAACTTAAGTGCCTTTTTCAAGCCCCATAGGCAGCGTTCTCAGCAGCGATTCTGGCTTTTATTATTAGTGAAAATTCCCCCCAAAAAAAAAAAAAAAATCGAATGATGCTGAAAGTAGGATTCTCTAGTCAAAACTTAAAATATATAAACATATTTATTTTTATATATATTGAATATATATGTATATATTTTTTTAGAAAAAGCACTAGTCCCTAAAGTAATTTTTTTTAGTGATCTAGAAACACAGCATCAATATTAATATTTGAACACTTGAAAATCTCAAGTATTACAGTGTATTTCTAAGTTTATTTCTAAGGTTAAGTATAAGTAAGTTTCCTAATAATTCTTCGGAATTTTATTTTCAATGTTGCATTTTAATTTTAAATTTTTTTTTTTTTTGCTTGTTACACATTATTTTAATCCAGAAGCACAACACAAGGTTTGAATTGATCTTGATGTATTAATATAATTCATTAAATAAAATAGATGATATTTGTACGTTTTTAAGTTGTTAATTACACAATTTTACATATTTTGAGATTTTACTGCATGATTTTGCACATTTTGCTACATGTTTTTCAGATTTTCACTGCATGGAGATCCTGTTTCTGTTAATGACCTTATAATTTATTACATATTTCAACCTTAAAACGCTTCATATATTTCATAAGTGCATGTTGCCATTTGATTGATGAAAAAAAAAACAGTTAGATACCTACATTTGTGTTCAAAAATTGTGTCGGGCGATGTTAGAACTTATGTGACAATATTGTCATTATTACTGAATATAATATGATATTGCGTTAATACTGAATATACATTGTTTGATTCCGACATGTTTTGTATCTAGCATTGCTGGGCAGTTGGTACGAGTCGTTGGCTGCGTTGGTTCATTACGACCTGTATTAGAATCGGTATACCATCGTATGCTTTTATATCCTAAAGTACAGCATAGGTTGGATTCTCTAAAAGCTCTTACAGAGGTATGTGTGTGTACGTTTTTTAAACATATTGGTGTTCTGACACTAAATATAATTTTGTTTTATTAATTACACCAGAGAAATACTTTATTTCGAATCAAGTGCTGCTATAATATATAGGATTGCTAAATTATGTTTTATACTATTCAATCCATATGATCTACTGTACTATATTATCTATATCCATATCAGACATAATATAAGTATATTTTTAAAATAATGCTTTCAATGGAAATATCATCAGGTTATTTAGAAAAGTCATTAGGTAACATTTTATAAAAATTAAATTACTAAATACTTTGGTGAATTTTCCCTCTCCCAGATCATAACATTATGAACTTAGTGCAATTATTTTTAGGATATAATAGGAATTATGTTATTTTGATATTCTTAACGAGTTTTTACATTGATAAATATGGTAGGTACCAAATACGTACCTGAAAATTTAGCTCTATTATAAGTATACTTAGTAACTTTTTTTACAATAAATTGATGATTTGATGATTAATTTTTCAAAAATCATGATTAATTTAAAAAAAAAAGATTTAGCTCCTTATAGGTTATATTTGTCATAATCAGATTTAGACCACTACAATTAATAATGAAAATGGTAAATAATTTTGATTACAAAAAATATATATGTTCAGGTTAACATTTTAAATAAATTTTTCAGCTTTGGAGGAGTCCTAACCGACTTGTTGATTTTGCTGGACCATTGTTAATAGAAGATGATAGGGGATGTCAACAAAGTGATATGGCCCTAACTAGATTGTAAGAAATCTGTAGTTAATTAATCGATTAATATGAATCATAATTAAAGTTAGCATGTAATTGAGAAAACACCAATTTGCATGCAACAGTATTTTTCATGATAAATTTTGTTCAACATTCTGATCTCAATTGCATCAACAGTTGGGCGGAAATAAATGAGTTGAAGCTGAACGCAGAAAAAACTAAGGCCATTCTCATCGGTTCCAGGCATCTCATTAGTTCCTGTGCTTAATCTCCTCTACTTTACCTCAATAACCGCTATATTCTATAAAAAATAACATTAAATTTTTAATAACATCCATTTTCTCCCAACATTCAAAAATATAGGAATAACCTTTAATCAGAATCTTTCCTGGAATAACTATATTTCCCAGATTACCTGAAAATCCATAACTGTCCTTAAATAACTGCTAAGGTCCCGTGATTTTACTCCTCAAAAAATCAGATTGATTCTTGTAATCTCCTTCGTTTCCCCCCACTTCGATTACGGTTGCTTGGTGTATGAAGGGCTGTCTGAAAGACTGGTGATGAGATGGAAGATACTCATAAACTGTGTTATAAGATTTATCTTTGGAATTCCCAGGTGTTCTCATGTTTCTTGCAGGTACACCGAGTTGAAGTGGCTCTTTCCTATATCCTGATGACAATATCTTCTTGGTGTTTTCCTTTCCCAAGTCCTAAGAACCTAAAATCCTCCCTAAATCCTTGAACTCCTTACTCTACATTCCTCTATTCACTCTCTTAATAACAGGTCTGAACCTATTGATTTATATATCCTCTCTCGTAAAACTACTTCCTTCAGCAAATCCTTCGTCATTTGTTCTACCTCTTTCTGAAATTCTTTATCTATCACCATACACGTCAACCACCATCCATAAATTTCTCCAAACTAGTTTTATTCCACCACCTACTTCACTTTCAAACTACTTAATTATAACTGCTCATTAACAATTTGATTTTGTTTATTTTTTTATTTGTATATATATAATCTATATAAAATGTACTTGAATGTCTTTATATACTGTATAATTCAATTCAATTAACTGTATATTGCAATAGCTATTGAAATTAAAATTTAATGACAAGAACATCTTTGTATTTTGACAAGTCAGACTAATGGGCCATTTTTTTTGTACTATGTAATTATTATTACGGGATTTTAGTCTCAGAATAAAATTATTTTTTCATTCATTCGTTCGATTACATTAAAATAAGAGATTTATGAAAATTAAGACACCCACATCATTTCTAAACTATTTACTTGTATTTTCACAATTTCTGATTTTATAATATCGCTAATCTTAGCGCAAATGGTCTTATGTTAAAATTGACTTTTTTTATAGAATATTACAATTCATATTATATTTTCCTCATCTATCTTCCATAGTAGACTACGTATTACGGTTGCAGACTACAAAATGTCACCTTTAGCACAAATAGAATAAATATAGAAAATTGTTACGACCTTTTGCACTAATAGTAACGATATATTATTTAGTTAAAAGTTAATAATATTTGTAGAATAAATAAATAATATTTCTTAATGATATTTGTTACAATTATCTGTTATATGGCCGTATTCTATTATTTCAGAGTTATGGACTCTCTCCAGGAATGTAGTCAAAGTAAAGACCTGAGTATATTGAGCGCTACGGTCTCTTGTGTTGAAACTCTCTTGGCGACGTTGCTTCAATTGTCCACCGGCCAATGTATTAATCATGTATATGTTACCAAGATTAATTCTATTTTTTCTTCATTATCCTCATGCGATTATAAAGGTAATTCATAAATTAATTTAATACATTCATTTATGTTGTGCTATACCAACTCTGTTTTTTTAATATAATATGTGTAGTATACATATACAAATGGAGTTTTCATAAATGATAGCGTTGGTATTATTTAATATTTAATTGTATAGATTACTTTGTATAGCAATATAAAAATTAAAATTTGTATATATATATATATATATATATATATATATATATATATATATATATATAAAACAATGCTTAAACATGTATAAATACCTACAATGAAGTATAAATAAATATAGCGGCCTTCTTTATCAGTGACACCCTTGTCTGATGACACTCTTGATGTTTCAATCCTAACATGTGGTTCATCATCAGGGCTGAAAATTGGTTAATATAATCAAAGATATAATATTATAAGACATATAATGGTTAATAATGAAAAAATAGTGATGGATGATACTTGAATAGACAAATGAAATATATATTAAATTTTACAACTTATAAAACAAAATATAAATTCATCATATACATTCTTTCTTTTCGAGAAGAAGTTGTTCGGGAGTGCGGTCAAATAAATACTGTATATTAAAATAGCATTTTATTGTTTATGCCGACGTTTCGATCCACTTTTTAGCTCTTCATCAGGGCTACATAAGATACATAATATGAAAGGTACATAATGAAAATAAAATAAATGATTTATTAGTAGATATTAAACAAGAAACAGTTGTCTGGTTAGGAAATAATAAGATGACATTAGAGATATAGTGGGTGATAGTGTGGTTCAAAAATCAAGTATTACATATATAGAAGATACAACAAAAAATAAGTAAGTTGTAAGTTAAAAGTAAACAGATTGTGATAAAATATATGAGTGGATAACAAATTGGTAAAGGTTAGATTTGATAACTGTAGGTCAACAGATAAAGAAAATGAGGGTTAACGAATAAAAAAATTGAAAAACGAATAAATAATGATCTAGTAAAATTAAAATAAGAATAACATAACATAATAATAAGATATAAGTGGATAACAAGCTAGTGGAGGTTACACTTGATAAATATAGGTAAACAGATAACTTTCTTATAATATTATATCTTTGACTGTCTTAAACAATTTTCAGCCCTGATGATGACCAATATGCTTGAGTTGAATTGTCGGCACAAATAAATAACCATAAAAATGATTGCGTATAACTGACTACTAGTTTTGTAGAACATTATTATGTAGAACAGTCAACTAACTTCCTTCAACAATTCATTAAATTATTTGTTATAATCAAATTAATAATTAAAATATACAGTCATAAAAGAAAATGGTTAATGGCAATAAAACATAAATATAATACATTTTAGAAGACTAGAAAAACACTTGATAATTAATTGTTTTAAATAATATTTCGTACTAAAATTTATTTTTTGACAATAATCTCCCAGTTGTTTTTGAAAATTCTTACTATTTATTTTTTTAAATTTTCAGCCATAAAAAAAAAATTAATATATTATTTTATAATTCACAGGTCCATTGACTTACCAAACATTGTGCCGATTGCCGAAGGTTTACACTGATAGTGTTTGTGCCATGAGAAAATTGGAAATTGAAGATGGGGAAAGGGAAGAAGGAGATGGGACTAGCGAAGAGAGCAGCAATTGCTCCGATATGACAGATGACCATCCGGATTTCTCAGATGTGCGTAATATACTTATTTTCTCATTATTGATATATTTTGTTTTTTATCCTTTCTGTACCTATTCATTAAAAAATTTCCTTTTATCTATTAACTTATCCATATGATAAAAATGTGTATACATATACTGGTAAGTGTTCTTGATCGTTGTCATGACAACTCTGTAACCATGGAAGCAAGTTGAACTATTGAAGATATTGGTGAAAAAAAAAACTAAGTCGTGTGCTTTAGACCACACAATAGAAGTGAAAACAGCAAGCCGAGATTAATATCAATAATATGAAGTCTAAATTATAAACAATAGTTCATTATAAAGAGGATAAAATGCTGAACATTTCCCTCACTTGCGTCATGTAGATCCGATTTTTAGTTTCTGAGATATTTTAATCCATATGCAAAAACACTTCAATTAGTCGACTCCAGCCGACTTAACCTGAGCGTAACACATCACAAATCTGACGGCTCAATCTAATTCACTCTCCACAAAAAAGTTGAAAACTAAAGAAGTTTTCACTTTTTAAATAATAAAAGAAGATTCAATAACTTGAATTAATGATATATCCTGAAGTTGGAGGGGCAGTTCTACTTTATAAACATCCATTTATAAAACCTAATAAAATAAATTTTAAACTAAATAATTTCATTCAGAGATAGGATGAGAGTAAAGAAACAAAATTCTGTTATGGATGTTTTGAAGCTGGAAAGACTAGTGTAAGCTAATACACAGCCGTAATACATAATACATAGTCATGTTTCCACTCTCATGACATTGTTCCATCCCCATCATTTTTCTTTAAATTATCTTTCCAAATATGTATCAGAAAATTTTTGGACTTTTTGCATTTTTACTGTTATTAGTGTTCACCCAGTGACATTTGACGGTAATCATTATTGAAAATTTCTGAAAAACATATGATTTTTTTTCATACTCTTACACATTCATATATACACTTTAATATTCCATTGTCAATAACTTTTAGATTTAATACCTTCAAAAGGAATAAATAGAGAGAAATTCTTTAAACGTTTTTATTTTATATGTGCAGTTCTAGCATGTTTACGGTGATCAGGTTTGTGGTATTTTCTGTAGCTTAAGTGGCTCTAAATTGTTGTTGATGTTCATGTCGATAGATGGAGTCTTGTGGGTAACACTAAAGCTCATCAATAGCTACTAAATAAAAAAAATAGAATAAAAAATTGCAAATAAAATTCTAAATCCATCAGTACTGTTATTTCAGCCTCTTTTAAGGGAATTATGTTATATACATAACTTAAAAAGACTTCAAGAAGAAGACGTAAGGCAAGTTTCATTAAACTTGTAAGAGTCATTTTGGCGCTACAGCCTATAGCAACATTCGTTTTTCAGCTGCCATGTCGAAACAAAAGGTTGGATGGTAATAAGGGTAATGGATGGTAAAAACACTGCTGAATTTGATTGAAATATTGTATCAAAATTTAAAAGCAATCGGTAAAGTACTTTTGGAGATTAATGGTTTTGAACAAATTAACATTTGCATTTTTATTTGTATACACTGTTTCCACAATTTTTTTTTTATAATATTAAAGTTTTTGAATAGCTACAAAAAAAAAAAAAAAAAAAAAAGAAGTCAGTTGTCTTTGCCTATTTATAGATGTAATATTCCTCGACGAATAAACGTTGAAAATTCTTGCAAGTAGCCAATTACCTAAAGAATTGTACTCAACAAATTTTAATCTTTAGGCTAGGCTAAATTATATTTCATCCATACGTTTATGCTTCTTTTTTTCTTATGCTTGTAATAAATTTTTAGTTATATAATATAGTTATTAGTAATTAGTTATATAATCATATATTGTTTTTTTCTATTTTTAGGTGGATGATATGGACGAATATCCTACAAAAATAGGTTTCCCTGAAGCCCTTGGTTCAATAAGAACAGAAAAGGTAGTGGTTACTTTTTGTAGTTACTTTGTTTTAACAGTTAATTTTCATGAGTTTTCCAGTTAGCTTAGTTATTTATTTTAATATTTTGTATCGACTTATTTGATTTATCATGAAAATATGTTTCGAATTTCCCATTAACAAGTTTATATATGTATTAATCTATAATATATAATTTTATTATTTGATTACAAAAGAAAATTATCTGATGCTTCTATTATCAGGTCTACAGTAAAGAAAGCGGTGACTGTGAAAGAGATAATGCTAGACATTTTATAGACACCCTATTGGAATTCTTACCATCTATTGTAAATATTAGGTATGCCATTGAAATCGATGACGCATTACAAAAATTTGCTTCCAATTACTGTCAAGGTAAGAATGAGATATTTTTATTATAAAATTAATGACATGTTATGACAGATTAGATATAAAAGCGTGAACTTTTTGTTTAAAAAAAAACACATCAAATTTCATCTATGTAGCTTTTTTTATTTTGGATTTATCAAAATCTGAATGTATAAATAATAAGTTCCTAGAAGTAATGAATGTCTGTAACAAAGGCATTATATATATTGAATGCTATGTATTTTTAAACCTTATTAATTTTATATCTATCTTTATATAGGTTTATATTATGAAAAATCAAAACATGAAGATATAGAATCGACAATAGTGAATGCTGATGGTATCTACTTGGCTACATATTCAGCTTTATTGCTAAATTTGAAATTGATAAATCAGGGTTATTACACGGATGAGTCGAGTGATATCCCAATGACAGAGGTAAAAACAATTCTTACTGATCTACTGTAAAACTTTGATTAACTATCAATCGTTTATTAATCAATTTCTGTTAACCTTCGGTATAAGAGAACGCAAACAAAAGTGGGTTTTTGACTTGTGGTGTGTGTATTAATGGAAAACTAGAAAAATAATTATATAATGGACATAACTAAGGAAATTTTTGTCATTTTTGGCTTACGCCATTGTAATTATTATAGTTATAAACTTCTTCGTTGGACATTTATAATCTCTAGAATCTCCTTTTTCTACTTAACACTTTAAAGTTGAAAAATATTCAGTTATGCAGGTATATTCACAATTATAAAAAAAAACAACACATTTTTGCACTAGTGATGGACACCCCGAAATTCAACTATTCTAGTAATGGACGGGGGGTCGGTACCAGTAATAGACATCTTCAGAAAAAATTTAAAATCTTTATTTAACTATAAAGATAAGATAATATAAATGTTTAACTTACCCTTAGCAAAACTGTTAGTAGGAATGTATGAAACACACTGATCTCAAGAGCACTATAGAAACAACAATTATAAGCATTTTAAAATTTTCTTTTGAGAACTTTGTTCATACGGTAGTCAATAGAGGGGCATTGTTCTTCAATCTAGAAAAAACTAATTTTTAAATCAAAAAGGAAGCTTATTATTTACATTTAAACTCCATACTGTCTGTCACTGGGCCCACTGTATATAACTGGTGCGTTTACCCTATTACACAGAATAATTTATAAATCCATGTACGTCATGATTTTGAGCTAGTCAAATTAATTATTAACAGAATATAACTACTTAGATATGAAATTTAAAACATTCATTGGCTGATGGAATTATTCTTCAACAAGAAACTCAAGTCCTAAATAGACAATAATAAATTACTGATTAATTATTCCTAAAATTGTTGTCTTGAGGTTTTATTTGTTATATAAATTAGGCTGTTATTCATCAACATTTTATTTATTAGCTATTCTATTACGACGTTTCGACCATCACTAGGGCCATTTTCAAGTCTTATTGAGTCCTCCATTAGATATTCATTTTTAATGTTGTATTAATTTGTTCAGTGAAAAATTAAATTGCCCTGCTATTTAACAGTTTCCCCTACGACATTTCAGTCCCTCCAGAAATGATGTAGAGGAAACTCTTAAATAGCAGGACAATTTAATTTTTCATTGAACAAATTAATACAACATTAAAAATGAATATCTAATGGAGGACTCAATAAGACTTAAAAAAGGCCCTAGTGATGGTCGAAACGTCGTAATAAAATAACTAATAAATAAAATGTAGGTGAATAACAGTCTAATTTATATAATAAATAAAAAATATTACTGGTTAAATTCATGAAGCATAAGTTGTAAGTTTCATACTTTGTAATTGTAATAATATATTATAATAATTTATGTCTTTATTTTTTTTACAGTAATTGCTCTTTGATATTATAATTAATATATAATAAATGTATTACTCTACATTTTTAATAGTAAGTAAACATTAGTCATTAAAATAAAAAAAAAAAACTTTTATCAAACAAAAGTGATTGTTATTCCAACTTAACTGTTCAAAATCAGCTATAGCCTTTTACTTTAAATAAAATGTTTATTCCATCTGTAGTTTGATATTCATATACTTATCATATCTTTAAAATAATTTAAATATAGTTTGTTTAATTCCACTCCTTTGATTTATTTTCCAATCAGGCTCAGTTTGTCACCGAAGTTGAGGAAAGCGGTGTCTTGGTATATCTGTCATCTAGGTGGCTGTGTGAAGTCTACCAACAGGTTATATGCAATGACCTTCTCACAGTTACTGGCTGCTCTTCAAATGTCGCTCTAACAAATTTGTTATCAGGTATTATTTATTTTTATTACAGTAAACTATATTTTATCAGTGTCCTGTGAAATGGTGATCTTTTTAATATTTTTTTTATCAATGTATTGTTTTATGTATAAGATATATTTTACAAACGGCCAGAAGATGGACATATGAAAACTCTGATCAATGGAATTGTATATGAAGTTCTGGGGATCAAGTCCCTAATAAAAAAATGAAAGAAAAATGTCTCAGTAGTCTTGAATTTTTTTTTTTTTCATAAGACACTTCATAAGAAATTTTTTTGGTTTATTATTTTCAATTATCAACCATTGTGATAGACCAAAAAATTCAAAAACTTAATCCCCTCTCAAAATTTGAGATTTCACGTATTATCCTCCTTCATCGACATTATTATCAGCCTTTTACTTCCAAAATGGCGGCCAAAAAACCTGTGTTGCTATAGACTGTAGCGCATAAATGAATGTACCGATTTCAATGAAACCTCGCTAAAGTAATTTTCTCTACACCCTTTAAATTTATCTATATAACATACTTCAACAAAAAGAAACTGGAAAAGAAGTTACGAGACGAGGGATGGTAAAATTAAATTCCGAATAACTCAAAAAGTTTACCCTTTTTTGTGGATATTTATGTTTTTCTTTTTTAAGTTTACAGAATTTCCTAAAAAAAAAAAATTGTTAAAATCTGACAATTAGGAGCAAAAAAGATATGGTCTCCAGTTTTTTTTTGTATGTTCTACTCCTAATGTTATATCCTTTGTTTGGTTTTTAAATTTTGAATGTTTTTTTTTTTCTTATGCCAGTCGTTGGTCATTTGGCCATCCGACAATTTTGAATGTGTTACTGAAGTAATGCAATTTTTTTTTTAGCATATTACTAATGATTAAAAAAAACAAAGTTTAGTCCAATAATTGTAATCACCTTTTATTTATTTTTCTTTGTAACTATGAAGGTAATGTTACTTTAGATGTATGATTGTCTGGAAATAATAAACCATTGTGGAATAATTTGCAGCATTTTTTTATTAATTACAAACGTTATTATTGAAAATAATAAATTGAAATATGATATATACATGTATGATGAATTGTACATTTTACTTAGAGAATAGCATACTCGCCAGTCTGTTTCCCCTCAACTCTATTTGTCCTTCATTTTTCATTTTATTTTGGTCTTCTTGACTAGAATTCTGGTCTATGTGGTGGGTGGGGCTGATATGTAGAAGTTTTTATAATCTGACACACTACTCAATTGCTTTGCTTTTTCTTGAAAAACAGACTTTAAATTTGTCTTATTAATGAATAAATAATGTAAGTATAAGTAAAAATTATAAAAAAAGTTATATAACATTTACAGAAGCTTAGAAATTCTATATATTTATATTTATTATCATAATGGCAATTATATAATGTAATTTTGCCATAAAAATCAAATTCACGATAAAGTCTCTATTACTTATATATATGCCCAAGTATAAATAACAAATTGATGCATTAATAATGAATCAACTGAACTGTCAAAAATAAACTAAAATGAAAAATCCTGACCAATGAAGAACCTTTGTTGGATGTTGTTGCAACAAAAGGATTTGGACTACTCGATCATTGTTTTCTTTGTATTTATAAAATCCTATGGTTTTTAAATTTATTAAAAAATATGTATTTCTATTTTGTTAAACCTTTAACCTTTATTCTACTTCCTTCGTATAAGAAATATTTTACTTTTTGAGCAATAATTCTTTTCCATTATGTTTAATTCATAATTTTATAAATTATTTATAGATCTGGGAGGAATATCATTCGAAAGTGAAGTTCTTTCAGACTGCTTGAAGCTGGAGAAAGCCTCTTTGCGACAACATAATACACCTGAAATTCAAGCTGGTATTTAAAAGCATTTATTTATTTGTTAATTTATTTTCAATGATTAATAATTTTGAAATTTTCCGATTTTTTAATATATTTCTTAATGGATTAATTATGGAATTATGGATTAATTATGGATTAATTATTCGCTATTTTATTTTGGATGTTTCGTGGTCTTGACCCCATCACCAGCTTATGTGGCAAGAACTTTTAAGAATAAATTCAGACAAATATTTTAACAGACTGATTAATATGTGTTTTTTTGGCATTGGAATTTTCTGTTCAGCCAGTATAAAATTATTTAGTTGTGTTCCTATTCTTCACTATTTCCATTTTAAATATACCTATTTATTGAATACAAATATTCCGTGACATTGATAATTTCCTCGGGGTTGCTCGATGGTAATATTTTTTTATATAGTTTATCATCATTGTAAGGATTTTTTTTTTCTGATTATTGGTTTATTGATAAATATTACAATCTGTCTCAATAAAGGACATTTATAATAGAGTTCTGAGAGCACATCCACACCATATTTACAATTTAAAAAAAAAAAAAGCTAATTTCAAATAATATAAAGCTATAAAAGAACAAAATAAAATATCATAGTGAAGGAAAAAATATAAATAATAGTAATAATAGAATAAAAATAAATGAATAAAATAGAATTAAAATTATCTTAAAAAAAAAAAGTAATGAAAATAAACTGTAAGGATTTAGAAAATTTAGAAATTTCTCTCTGATTTTTGTAGGCAGGACATAATGATGTGTTGGAGTGTTTCTTTTTGGTTACGTTTATCATATATGAATTTTTAACTCCAATGCACTACAGGTTTACTTTGCATAGGCCATGATTTGTTCTAAGGCTAGAAAATTTTTTAATTATATTGTTTGGTAGGTTTAATCCGATGAACCATAGCTTGTTTAGAATTTGCGGTATATTGGACTTATAAAATCTGCCTGTCCGCATTAATATGTTAAAAGTATTAAAATTGGCTTGAATATTTACAATAAAACAGTGATATGATTTTAAACAAAATTAAAGTATAAATTTAAATATGTTTCTTTTATGTTAACTTGCTTATATTTGGACTATTTATTTTTTTCATCATTATTTATACCAGTTACCATTATCCAGGCTTGAAGCTTACAAGAAGAATGTTAACTTGCTGTTGGGAGTCGATACTTGCGGTGCTGACTGTTGGGGTAAAGGGAGATCAATCAGTCGTACCCGTGAGCCTTCAGGCTTTGCACAATGCTGCTCTTCTATGTAACGCTACAGGTAATGTTTAACAAGTTATTTTTGTATAATAAACAACCTTATTTAAGTTATTTATATTTTTTTATGAGATTTTTTAATAATTATTATATTTAATCTATATATGATTATTTATTTATCAAAACCCTTTTTAATGTCTTCTTCTTCTTTTGCATCACCCTGTAGTGCCTTTCAGCGTAGGGGAGTGTCTAACCAGGATTGCCAATTTTCTCTGTTTCTTGCAAGATTTCTGGCTTGGCGTTTATTCTTATTTCTGTTTTTGCACAGACGGTCTACGTATTCGAGGTACGACATTCTCGGTCTGCCGTGGGTTCTTCTACCATCAGGGACATAGTCTGTAGACTTTAATGGATCCCTGTGTTCTTCCTTCCTGACGACATGCCCAAACCACTTAAGCTGCCGAGTCTTTAATCCTTCATTGGGGGAACTCCCAATTCCTCCCTGATTCTCTCGTTGCAAATGCAGTCACGTCTCATTCTCACTGCGATCCTTTGTAGAAACCTCATTTCTGCAGCAGTGATTTTTCTCTCCAGTTTGTCAGTCAGCACCCAGCTTTCTGCACCATACAGGAGTATAGAAAGGTATACTGCCTTAAATATGTGCAGTTTCACACTTCTGCTCAATTCTCTCTTTCTGATCACAGTATTGCAGATCTGGTAATTATATAACATTTGCATTGCTTATCCTGTTCAGAATTTCTGAATCCACTTTCCCAGACCGATCCATAACAGTACCAAGGAAGGTGAAATCTGATACTACTTCCATCATCTCTCCGTTGCAATACACAGTAACATCTTCCTGCACCCTTCCAACCTGTAGGATCTTGCTCTTTCTTGTACTGATAATCATACTCTTCCTGCGGAGCTTTTCATTCCATTCATCTACTGCCTGCTGTAATTTCTCCACGGAATCAGCAATTAGGACAATATCGTCCGCATATAGAAGAAACTGAATTACAACTGGAAGCAGATTCCTTCACCCCAGAAACGTCCTTTCTGTTCGCCTTTTGCAGATTGCAGCTATTTCATCGATGTGTAATGTAAATAGCAATGGGCTTAAACTACCTTTTCAATCTCACAGTCTTTCATTTTACATCTAAAATATTTTTACAAACATTTAAAAATTATTATTTAACGTTTTGGCTCTACGAGCCATTTCCAAAATTTTTTTTTCTTTTTTAGAAAACAAACCATTAGTCCTTTAAAACCATTATTTCTCAACATTTTCGTAAAATATATTTGTATATAGAATACTGCTCAATGGTAATAATTATTTTATTAAGGTTAAATAATAATTTTTAAATGTTTGTAAAAATGTTTTAGATGTCAAATAAAAGACTGAGATTAAAAAGTGTTTTGATAAATAAATAATCAAATATAGTTTAAATATTTATTTTTTTTATAATCTTTAGATTTTTAACTAGTGTGCGAATATGAAACTGGAATAAAAATATTTTTAAATATTGAGAATAAAAAATATAGAAATATTATGAATAAAAATTATATTATAGAAATATTGTATCTTGTTTGCTATAAATTTTTCCTATCTCTCTGGCAATTTATGAATGTCTTGCCAAAAAAATGTTCCTCTTTTGTGAGGAATCAGTCATCAAGCTATTATATAGTACATTTGTACAATTTCGTAAATAATGAAGCGCTGCTGAGCAAGTGTGTGCCCCATCGATGCAAATAAATAGTAGTTGGACGGAACCTCGTATGGTACATGCTCCGCACCATTAGCATAAATGCGTTATTAGCTCGCATGCACTAATATTTTCCAAATGAACGCCTCAATCGTTTTGCTCTGTAATAATCGTGAAGCAAAATTTGTGTTTGTGTCTTTTTTTGATATTCTGGTCATTTTCATTGATAAATTTTCATTTTTTATTTACACATCTGGTATATTATTAATATTTATTATTGTAAAAGTATGTTTATTTTTCTAAAATGAAGAACTTAATAAATAAAAAACCTTTTATTAAACTTTCGTTTAATTATCCATAATATTTATGAGTAATATATCTCTTGTCCTTATTTACGCTTCCGGTACTTTAGTTCAAACTTTGTCAGAGATGACGCCACTATACATCTCTTCTCTCCCCCCTCCTTGGCTACCATTCTCATTTCTCCGTTTACACCTTTAGAGACAGGTTTTGGTTTCTTTTTCTCTTTCTTATTTCAGACTTCTCAGTTTCTTTTCTCCTTCCTTTCATTCCTTTTCTCTGTTTTAACTCTTTATTATATTATACGTTGTCTGTACATCTTGATAGACTTTACAATATCTCAATTTTCTATCTAACTATTCTATTCGCAATATCTTAATTTTAATATTTATTTCCATTTCTTATATAACTTCATATTTCTTTTTTTCTGTTTTACATTTTATTCTGAGATTCTTATTTTAATACTTATGTCATCTTTTTTGATTATGTTTACTTCATTATTCCACACTTTGTACCGCTTATTATGATTTATCTCTTTGTTCTTACTATTGTCATTATTCTAACAACTGAATTTTACTTTAATTTTTTTACCTGCACTACTTATGTTTCTCATACCTTGTTATCTGGTTCTTTTCTTAGCCCTGATGATGGCCTGAACTTCAGGTCGAAACGTCGGCAAATGTCAAAATAAATATTATCATTTATTTTTGCCCTCTTATTTGACTGATCACCCCAACTATTCTTCTCTTCATTATTCACGACAGTCAACCATTTACCCACAGTTAAAAAACCTTTTAAATTTTTTTTGTTACCTTAAGGGTTATTTAGTTTCGAGTTTATCAAGTTTTCTATACTCATTATAACATTTGAATTCATAGGACTCCAGAGGAGAAGCGGAACTGTTTTCTGCCTGTTAAGTAACGCCTGCTGTAATCCGCAAGATGGGAAGCCTACGCTGTACGCCAGCCATGCTCTCAGCTTAGATGTCTTGCTGAGCAGGTCCCTTGAACTCGCCAGCCACGCTCCTCAGTCCTGGCCTTATGTTCTCAAGTACGTGATCTTCCATTTCGCTTATTTATTTTTTCTTATGCAAAACAACATTATCAAAATATATATATATTTTTTTCAGATGCTGCATGCATGTTGCTAGACTGGAACACACAGTTGTCCATTCACAGTCCCTAAAATTCACTACAAAATTGGGTGTTATACAACCTGAAAAACAAGATATTAATTTGCCTGTGTGAGTAAATATTTAATAATTTTTATATTAATTTTAAATTATTATATATTGTAACATCCCTCTTATATTTTAAAATACTAATAATATTATAACCTCAAAAGATCACTTTATACCCTTAGGATACTTCTAAAAGAAATAAGAGGTTGTTAAATAAATAACAAAATTATAAGAGTAATAATATATTTATTTATCTCGTGTGTGGGTTACTGGCAATCAGATCAACTCAGACAACCTATTATTATTTACACTATTTATATTAAAATTAAACACTGGTTCAAAAATAAAGTCAAGTATGAATTGACAAGCTAATCTTTTTTCTACATACAATGTTTCTTCCTTTGTGGCACTGAATTCATTTGTCTTCACACATTTTCTTATGTTCTGCCAAACACATATCCCAAAATGGTAACACTATTCTTCCACTTAACTCAAGCTTTCTGGGAAATCCTCTCTCTGGCAATTCCAAACAACTATTCTCTCAGCCAAACAAGATCTTCTAAGATGGTAAAACTATTACTGGGCCACTACTAATATTGGCTACTAGTCCAATACACTCAAAGCAATATGCCTACCAACCAGGAAAATCCTGTGAGGTGGCGCTTCATAACTTGGTAACAAGAATAGAGAAATCCTTAGAACAGAGTGAAATCGTGATAGGCGTCTTCGTTGATATCGAGGGTGCCTTTGATAGAACTCCTTACATCATAAATGATGCACTAAGGAAAAAAGACATAGATGCTATGACCTCCAGATGGATTGGGAGAATGCTGGAGGACAGAGTTCTAAAATCAGAAATAGGACACAAGGAACTGTGGATTAAACCCTGTGGTGGATGTCCACAGGGAGGTGTGCTCTCTCCGCTACTGTGGTGTTTTGTGGCTGACTCATTATTGGAAGCCTTAAACACTGCAAGCATTTATGCTCAGAGATATGCTGATGATATTGCCATCCTCATAGGAGGGAGGCATCAGAGAGTCCTCTCTGATATCCTCAGTATTGTGTCTAATATTCTTAGGAATTGGTGCAGGAGATTAATGGACCAAGCATCAACCCTAGGAAAATCAATGTGTGTATCTTCACTAAGAAGAAGAAGGTAGTTAATAAAATGGCGGAAATTAATGGTATCCAATTGACACTGAGTAAGGAAGTAAAACACCTTGGAATCATTTTGGACCATAAACTGTCATGGATTAAACACGTTCAAAACGTGACAAGTAAAGACCTCAAATGCCTATGGGCCTGTAAAAGAGCGATAGGAAAGAATTGGGGACTAAAACCAAAAATGGTATACTGGCTGTACACAACGACAGTCAGACCTATCATACTTTACTCAGCTTTGCTATGGTGGCACAAAGCAAAGACTGTGGCCAACTTTTCCTCATTAGGAAAGATTCAAAGGCTTGCTTGTAAAATGCTGAAATCCAATCAGCCTACTTAGATACGCGGAAGCGACAGGATTAACGTTTTAAATAAAACGACTAACTGAAATTGGCGCACAATGGACCCAGTAGGGGTCGACGTGCTTATGGCCAACATAAAAAAAAAAAAAAAAGTTACTGGGTCAACTGCTTGCCAAAACAAAAACCTTTGTTCCTCTCCTTTTTGGGATTTTCCTTCTTGGGAAATTACAGAGTAACTATTTTCTATTCCCTGCACTAGTAGAACTAGATTAGCTTGCCTTTTAATTGTTCAACATTAATTTATTAAATCATTTTTACCCACTTCCAATAAAGGTGTATTTTACAATATAATGTTAGGCCTTATGCTCTTTGTATCCATTCCGACCTATATCCAAATTTAATTTCTTTAGCCTAGTTGCACTGATCATTGTTAACTTTAATTTTACTAATTTTGATTAGTTTAACAGAATTCCTGTTACACCATGTTGATTAGCCTTAACAACATGTTAAGTTATCATAACTTGCTAATCTAACGTTGATCAAACCTTTAAATAATGTTAAAGTGTAACCTTACGTATAATTATTTCAAACAATAAACAAATATTTGCTTCTTCTGAGAATACCAGTGTACTGTTTTTGTTTTGTACGTTTTTCAAGATGACTATTATTTCATCTGAAGAACATTCTTCTGAAGAAAGTTTGTCATCAGATGAAGACTTATTAAATCTTATCAATCTATTTTTCACTTTTAGAAAAATTGCTCTCTCTTTCTTTTTTTTCCGCCGTCTTTACAATAATTAACGAGCGATAATCAATCAAATAACCTAACTAACTGTTAATTATAAATATCAAAGTTTACAAGCAAGCGGATGGAAGTTTTCATAATATAACCCAAGTTCCTTTACAATCATCAGTTCTTTTTGTTCTTGTTTTACGTCATAAATAAGATGACATCACACATTAACACCTTGTTAACTAACTTGGTTTATAATTATTTGGAGCAACTGTACCCAAATTTTAACATTTATTAAGGTTTCACATGATTTAGTAAGCAGAGATGTTAACTGTAATCATGACTGTTGGTGTAACCAGGTCTTTGTTTGTCTTGAATTACCCTTATCCCGCCTTATTCAGATAAGTTCTTCCTCAGATAAAATATCATCTTATTACTTGTGGCCCCTTTGGAGTAGTCTTAAATGTTTAAAAAAGTTATATCCATAATTAAATTCCTTTTAAAAAATCATTAAATTTTGTTATACATATGTTTTATTAATTAAATTTGTTTTATTAAAAGTGATGGAGATGTATCAGCGTTATTGGGAGAATTGTCTGGAGTTTCACCATTACCTCATTCTGTCGCAGTCAGTGTTTTGGGTATTCTCTCGCATCATATCGACAGGTGAGCTGTTGTATACATTTCTGATCTATTACATTTTATAAATTTTCGATTTATAATTGTTCTAAAAAAATTTACTTTATTTATTTGTTGTTGCAAATGACCTTCAAGATTTGCCTGCAAATCCTATTTTGGTCGATATATTATGATTTTTAAATAAATATGTGTACATGTACAAATATGTCTTCAAGTTCTCATCTAATTTAAATTCTACATTAAGTATTTTTAAAAAACATTTCAACCTTCTTGATCTCACCACCACCCAGACCTGGGAGGTGGCAAGGTAAACTCCCTTTGGTGGACATAGTCGCCGAAGGATGTTGTCTGGACTCTGCGGTCCAAAGCCATTAATGTGTATGTATTGTAAATAATAAATAATTAACAGAACGGTCCCTCCCCGTTCAATGAAAGTCACAAGGCCTTCTGCCACATATGTTACCCTTAGCTATCCCCAATCCTTAAAATGCCCTCGGGCAGTGGAAGGACTTTATTATATGTATATATTAGTATTGTTATACTTCTATATGTAATTTATTAAATAAACGTTTTGGGGGATTGGAAAAAAAATGATCTTCTTTCTATCCAAGTTTTTTTAAAATGTTGCTTCTTCCTCCATTGCTGATTCATATTCTCTTTCCTGTTTCCTGCATCTAAACAGTATGTGTCGTGGGTCTTCTGGCTCTTTACAGACTTCACTATTGCCGTCTTTGTCAATTCTCATAAGATTAAAATATTTATTGATGCACCTATGGTTAGTTCGCAGTCTTACAATCTGAACTATGTTCTGTTACTTGAATTTCAGCTTCACAGCAAACCATCGAACAAGACTCAGATTCAGAGCAAACCATCGAACAAGACTCACAGTTGTCTGTGCCTGATAATAGCCTCTCCATTTTGTATATGACTTCTAGTCATACTGATCTTGCCATTCTTTTATCGTTTTTTTAACAATCTTAAGAGATCCTCCTTGGCTACCTTGTTGTTTTCTTTCACAGTTTGTCTTGTCCCTGTAGCTCTGTCAGCAGCCTCTCAGTTTACTTTAACTTTTGCTGAATTATGATTATAGAGTACTTGAATAAATCATCAATTTTTATTCCTTGATATCAAGGTAGCATCCTAAGCCCTATCCTTTACACTGTCTATACAGCTGACATCCCAACACAGTCATCACCACATATGCTGATGCCACATGTATCCTATCAGTTATTAACGACCCATCTATTGCATCCCAAACCCTTCAATCACACATCAAAAACCTTGAAGAATGGTGTCTAAACTGGAGAATTAAAATAAATTTCAATAAATCCCATCAAATTGCCTTCCCCCTTCGTTGTAAACCAATGACTTCCTGTCCTTCGGTATCCTTTAATAACACCTCAATTATTCCTGTTGAACAAATCCTTTACTTAGGACTCCACCTGCAGAAACGTCTAACTTGGAATCCTCATACCAGACTGAAACGACAAGAAACAGTTCGACGTTTCCGACTACTTCAATACTTACTAGACAAACGCTCTAACCTTCCAATTAATTACAAAAGACTCATTTACATGACTATAATAAGGCCTATTTGGATTTACAGAGTTGAGCTATGGGGCTCCACCAAACCTTCTAATTCCTCTCGTATCCAATTCTTACAATCCAAAATCCTTCATAAAATCCTCAACTCTCCTTACTTTGTTACAAATAAAATCATCCACAATGACCTTAATGTTCCTTATGTATCAGATTTGGCCCAATCCTTCCATAATAAACTTCATAACCATCCCAACCCTCTCGTTTCAAACCTTGCTTCCTATTTAATTCCTGATAACCCTCTGAGGCGTCTGAAAAGAAGATGGCTACGTGATCTCCTAATATAGACATATTATTAGAGTGCTACCAATGGGTAGTTTCTCAACATGTGTTTCATGTCATTATATCCATGTGCTAATTTACCAGATGTATTTTTTTTATACATTTGTAAATATCATATAAATAAAAAAAACAATTCCTTGATAAATATTAAGTTATAACAATAAGAATACAAAAAGTTTCAAATTTTTCTGATGCATATTTGCAATGATAATTAGTTGCAATTAAAGAAAAGTGATCTCTTATAAAGATCAACATTCCGCCATTAAAAATAAATTTGATTTGCAGGCTTTTTGAAAATGCTGCGATCAAACTGAAGCTGAGTCCTCTTCTGAGCTTCTGTAGCGCTGTATGCTCCTCCTCAGAAAAGCAGCTGAGGATGCTGAAGGAAGACGGCTCCCGACCGAGCAGGTGGTGGGTGCCCAAGCCTAGCAGTTCTGCCCCACCACCACCATTGCTCCTCTCTCGCCTCAGTCAGTTATTGATTAAGTCGGCCAGGTCTGGTCGTCCCCTTGTACACGTAATGAAGTTATGGTCTGCTGTCGGCCCTCACTTGATGCATGTAAGTTATTTCTTCTTATTTTTTAAAGATATTGTCATCATTTTTCAATAAAAATGCTGCAAATTATTTCACAATGGTTTATTATTTCCAAACAATTATACATCTAAAGTAAAATTACCTTCCTAGTTACAAAGAAAAATAAATAAAAGGTTATTCAAATTATTGGACTAAACTTTTTTTTTTTAATCATTAGTAATGTGCTAAAAAAATAGCATTACTTCAGTAACACATTTAAAATTTAAAAACCAAACAAAACATAACATTTGGAGTAGAACATATAAAAAAGAACTCAAGACCATATCCTTGCTCCTAATTGTCCGATTTTAACGATTTTTTTTTTTTTTAGGAAATTCCATAAACTTTTAAAAAACAAATACAATATCGACAAAAAAGTGTAAACTTTTTGAGTTATTCGGAATTTAATTTTACCATCCCTCGTAACTTTGTTTCCAGCTTCTTTTCGTTGGAGTATGTTATACAGGTAAATTTAAAGGGCGTAAGGAAAATGACTTTGGCGAAGTTTCATTGAAATCGGTACATTCCTTTAGGAGCTATGGTCTATAGCAACGCAGGTTTTTCAGCCGCCATTTTGAAAGTAAAAGGGCCGATAGTAATGTCGATAAAGGAGGATCATCCTTGGGTGACTGCTGATTTTATATTCAAATTTGAAAAAAATCGGTCCTGTAGTTTCGGAGAAAATGGACGGACAAAAAAATTTTTATTCGTTTTTCGAATTCTACGCATCCTGAAACGTGAAACCTCAAATTTCGAGAGAGGGTTAAGTTTTTGAATTTTTTGGTCGATCACAATGGTTGATTATTGAAAATAATAATCCAAAATATATTTATATCATTATATAAACTTGTCTAATGAACACTAATACAGTTGTTTAAAGTTCGTAAAAATGTTTGTATAAATAATAAGCGAGCTAATCTAGTTTTGCATAATTTTAAAGATAATTGAATTAAAAAATATTTCAGCTTCATTCTCTAATTGCTATATGGTTCCATTTTGTGCAATCGCTACCATCTTGAGTGAGCCTCTGAATAAGACTATAAGATTAGCATGTTTTACAAATGTTTCAGTTGTAGAACCTTTTGATAATTTCAAAAAAATATTACAAACATCATACTATAGTGATATGATGATCATAGAAATGATTTTTAACTATTCATCATCATTAGTGATATAAAGTGTGTTTGTCATAAATTTAGAATTTGTAATGGACATTGGAGGATAGGTTTACTTGTTTAAACGTCATATAGAGAGGACATCTCTCCCAACATTGATGGACGGAATTAAGGACATGTTTTGGTAATTTTTAATCAATTGCAATAATATATTATTAGAGAGCATCATATTTCAAACTACATGCTGTAGTAACTGTGAATATTACAGTCACCACACTTTGAGTGTAGTCCAAAGTTATTCTTGCTGATTTCAATTAACTTCAATATAAATAAGTGGAACTAGTTTTAGTATTAATTTCTAAGAGTTTGGTCTGATTGTCTGTTGGATTCAGTAATCCATACTCTGAAAAAAGAGTATTGTAAATTAAAATTTTAATGTAACATACTTTTGAAAGTTTATTTTTATTACTTATTTTTGGGAACTTCGCTCTAATATTGAAGTGATTTTTCTCTTAATTTTATATTATTAAAGATAAAGATATTATAATATATTTATATTTATATTATTATTATAGGCAGCGTGTCACAAAGATCCAGGGATTTCTAAGTTAGCCGTGACTTCAATTCACGATGTAATGGTAACTCTCCTGAACGAAAACTCGGAGCTTCCTCATTTTCATTTCAATGAAGCTTTGTTCAAACCGTTCGAAAATCTGCTTTGCCTAGAGCTCTGTGACAGCGATATTCAAGACTTGGTAATAATTCATGCTCATCCCACCAATTTGCATTATCTTAATTTTATATTGAAATTTAATTTTTCTATTTTTCCTTTAGGTTGTCAATTGCATTTGCGAGTTCGTCGAGACCAGCCAAGGGGAAATAAGATCTGGCTGGAGACCTCTCTTCCGCTCCCTCGGAGGCGTAGCCACCCCCAGCCATATTTCTTCTCTTTTAGAGGTTTTTCATGTATTTATCGGTACTGATAGCCCTCAGGTCTTTGCGAATGCTGCAATGGATTTCATCCATTGTCTGGTCAAGCATGTGAGGTGCAATGGTAAGTGTATTAAAGAAACTATAATAATTGTAATTATATAATAACTTTACCAATTTTGGTTTATTATTTTCAATAATCAACCATTGTGATCGACCGAAAAATTCATAAACTTAAACTCAAAATTTGAGGTTTCACGTTTCAGGATGAGTAGAATTTGAAAAACGAATAAAAAATTTTTTGTCCATCCGCGCATTTTCTCCGAAGCTACTTTACCGATTTTTTTTCAAATTTGGATATAAAATCAGAAGTCACCTGAGGATGATCCTCCTTCATCGACATTACTATCCGCCTTTTACTTTCAAAATGGTACCAATTTAAATGAAACTTCGCTAAAGTCATTTTCTCGATGCCCTTTAAATTTATCTATATAACATACTTCAACAAAAAGAAGCTGGAAAAAAAGTTGTGAGGGATGGTAAAATTAAATTCCGAATAACTCAAAAAGTTTACACTTTTTTGTAGATATTTATGGTTTTTTAAAAGTTTACAGAATTCCCTAAAAAATAAAAAAAAATTGTTAAAATCAGACAATTAGGAGCAAAGATATGGTCTCCAGTTTTTTTTTTTTTTTTTATATGTTCTACTCCAAATGTTATATGCTTTGTTTGGTTTTTAAATTTTGAATGTGTTACTGAAGTAATGCAATTTTTTTTTAGCATATTACTAATGATTAAAAAAAAAAGTTTAGTCCAATAATTGGAATCACCTTTCATCTATTTTTCTTTGTAACTAGGAAGGTAATGTTACTTTAGATGTATAATTGTTTGGAAATAATAAACCATTGTGAAATAATTTGCAGCGTTTTTTTTTATACTGTTTCGATCAAATCTCGGATTGTTGGATCATATGTGTTTTTATATATGTATTTTTTCCTTAGGTAAAGATACTATTTTTTATTGTTTGTTTTAAAGGTGTGGAAGAAGAAATTGACGAAGATACAGACTGTCGATCTGTTTTGAATTATGTTACAAGATGTAGTCAGATGCTATGTGCAATGTACTCCATGCCATCTTGCCCAAGATTCAACACGGCTAGAAGGTATGTAATTTAAGATTAAAAATTTAAAAGAATGCTGAAATATGAGGAGTGGCCTCATATCAAAGAGTCATTTCCAAAAAACTGGAGAAAAAGTTAATTTTTGTTTTATAGGTTCAACTCAGATTGTTTCTAATACTTTCATATAAGAATGAATATACTTTCATGTTAAATTTAAATTATGAAAAAAAAATCATTATAATTGGTTTTAATTGAAACCATATTACAAAAATTAGCTTTTTCTCCACTTTTTAAAAATTACAAATGTCTGCCTTCCATATAAGGCCACTCATATGATTTTACAAAGGTTCTTGAACATTTGTATATATATTTTTTAAAATTTTATTTGCAAATCTTAGGTTTGGTTGGTCGAATGTATCGTGAATCTATACTTACTTACTTCCGTGGCTCTACAGCCCTTGTAGGGCCTTGGCTTCCACAACAATGCCTCTTCGATCCTCTATCAGCGGCTTCTCCATTGTGCAATTTCCATCTTCTGCAAATCATCCTCCTCATTATCAATCCATCTAAAACTGGGCATTCCTCTCCTTCTTTTACCTCCTGGTTTACCATATAATAGTCTTTTTGGGTATCGATCCTCACCCATCCTTTCTACATGCCCAAGCCATCTTATACGGCTTGATTTAACGTAACTGTGTCTGGTTCTTTATACACTTCTTGGAGTTCTCTGTTATTTCTTATTTTCCATTGGCCATTTATACGTATCGGCCCAAAGATTTTCCGAATGACCTTCCTTTCTCTCATATAATTTTTGTGATATAATCTGTTTGCTTGAAGTTGTGTGTTTATTAAGTTTAGACTGTACAGTTTACAAATTTATACCTTTCCTAAGAATTACCTGATTAGTTTTTTCTCTTTAGATGTTTCTGATAGTTTTTTTTTTTTTTTTTTTTTTTAATCATTTTCTTTGCAGGCTAGAAGAGCGGTTAGAAGAAGGTCGTGAAATTCTAATAAAAGACGTTGGCGGTTCGCTGGCAGTCTGGGCAGAGTTGGTTGAAGGTTTAGCTTCCGTAGTTCCTTTATGCCCTCCTCTGTACCAGTCACCGGTTCTAGACACACTTTTCACTATACTAACTGACACGATAGAAAATCCGGGTAATTATTATCATTTTTCTATGTTGTTATTTGAATTTTATGAATAGAACTCGTATAAAATTGTAAAAAAAAACAATTTCAGGAATCAATTACACAATATTTTGTGTCACGTACATAATCATATCAATGATTCAAAGGTGGATTCTAACCAATAGCCATAATATTACTCTATGGGAGAAGCAAGTCAGTAGTTTCAAACAATATTGTGGTCAGACGACTCATTTTGTAGTGAGGCTTATTGGTCTACTTCAAGGTCAGTATTTAATTCATATTTTTATTTATTGTTTTTTTTTTTCTTTATTTTTGATATTAAAAATAATATGTTATCGTATACTTTAAGGCGTAGACACCACAGACCAGGGTAGTTTTATGCTTCAGAAGTTGGTTGACATCATGATTGAGTGCGTTACGGTTCCTGTGGAGAGTGTCGCGAGACTTGGCTGTGCTTGCCTCAGGTTGGTTTTTTATTATGAAAAATAAAAATAATTGGTAATTGGTTGACTGTCGTGGATAATGAAGAGAAGAATAGTTGGGGTGGTCAGTCAAAAAGGAAGGCAAAAATAAATGATAATATTTATTTTTGCATATGCCGACGTTTCGACCTGAAGTTCAGGCCTTCATCAGGGCTAAGAAAATAACCAGATAACAAGGTATGAGAAACATAAGTAGTGATGGTGAAAAAATAAAAAAAATAAAAAATTATTTTTATTTTTTTTACCATCACTACTTATGTTTCTCATACCTCGTTATCTGGTTATTTTCTTAGCCCTGATGAAGGCCTGAACTTCAGGTCGAAACGTCGTCATATGTAAAAATAAATATTATCATTTATTTTTGCTTTCCTTTTTGACTGACCACCCCAACTATTCTTCTCTTCATTAAAAATAAAAATAGTTTAGAAATCTTTATACAATTTTGATAATTCATATTTGAAGAAAATGCCCAATCGCTTGGGTGTTTAAAATAGTTTTAATAATACAAGACTTTTGGACGTTTATTAGCATCGTAGTTGAGAGTTGTAGTATTTACAGCAGTATTTACTCCTTTATGTGAAATTGGGTGAGAGAATGAGAAGGAATATATAGGAATGTGAGGTTACACTACGAATTGTACTCAATTGTGCAGTGAACAAATTATTCATTGAAAAGCCTCATATTGATAAACAATCGATGAAGGAGAAAGAAGGTTGGAATAGGACCGAGCAGGTAGCAACAGCTGGAGAGAAGAGAACACACTCTAGGCTGGGACAGGAAGAAATGAGGTTACCTGAGAACAGAAGCCTACTAGACTGAAGACTAAGAATATCAAGCCTAAAGTTATAAGACTTTAATAGATTCACTTATATTACAGTTGTAAAAATAAATTGTTTTGTTAGACAGGAGTGAAAAGTCATTTATTTATTTAGTTGTCCAATAGGCCTCACAATTAAAGAATAATAAACCAGGTGAGTCAATTCATTCAAAGTGAATTTACTCAGTCCCACATTTGATATATATATTCTTATTATTTCTTGTCACTTAGTATCACAAAAAGGTATTAGATTCCCGAATTCCCAACGACAGTTAAATACCCTCAAACAGTCTATATCTAGTGCCGGGGTTTTGTTTTAATATTCATGAGTGTAAATAACCTAGTCCCCCGATAAAGCGGAAGGCCATTAACATTTGCTGCCAAAAAAAGCTATTCGCAATTAACCTTTAACATGTTATTTACAGAGTGCTTAAATGTATAAAATTTAGATCCTAATGTAATATACATAATTATTTTCATACTTCAACAACATCTTCAAGTGTGCTATTGGTATTAAATATAATGGTTTTAAACATATTTAGTGTCAGAGCTGGAATCTTATAAAAATTTAATAATATTGAAGATTATTAAAAAATACGATGTGGTGCCCGCATCACACAACTTTCACTTACCAACCTCTTCTTAACAGAAATAAGTATTTTGAGACAAAGCGAAGTGAAAGTAAAAATTAGAGACTATATATTTATTTATATTTCATTGTGAGTATTTTTATTAGTATAAGTACCCTCATATATACAAATTTTAATATTTATATCGCTGTAATCTATACAATTAAATATTAAATAACGTCAACAATAGCATTTATGAAAACCACATATGTATATTTATATAATATTGTCGGAGTCCGTATTATATTAATCTCATGATACGCATGGAAGAAGCGTGTTCTAATCTTTCGGGCGAACTTGGGTGCGCTCGTATTCCTTTGGTTGCTCAATTACAACTATTCTCTATTACGATCTCTTATTTCTCTTTTAGTTGTTTATCAAATTCTTTCATATATTATATTTAACCATTTTTCACATTAGAAATTAATGTGAAATGTTTAATTGTTTCAAATAAAAAAAATGAAAGGTATTTTAGAGGAAACGAAAATGAAAATTAGCCATTTAAGGCCTCTTAGAGAACACCAATCACAACAATAATCACATTTTATTTAAAAGTGCTTAATTTTACACTGATACGATGAATTTAATCAAAATCGTTGGAGCGGTTTTCGAGATAATCGTTAGAAGATTGCAAGCATTATATCCATACTATAATACTGCTACCTGCTGCGTCTAATGTGTTTCTTAATAAAAGATTCATACATGAATATATATTTAGGTAATAGTGTGGCTGTAGTAAAAAATAAAGTATCTTATAAATAATATTAAAAGTGTGCTGACATTTTGGCCCCCATTATTACCTTTCTTTAGTTTCCTGCTTTCTTCTCATATATACTTTTAGCTCCTCCTCCTCTCACCATGAATCTTATATTTACATGTAATATAATTTCTAATTTCTACTTTATTCAGTTTTGTGTAACTTCTGTATGTTCAAAATTTTATATTTATTTTTTTCCTTGTAATTTGATTATATTTATTTTTCTCATATTTTGACCCACACACACAGACTCACACAGACAGACACACACAGAAACTCACAGACACAAATAGACAAACACAGACATAAACAGACACACACCGACACAAACACACAGAATCTTATATTTACATGTAATATAATTTCTAATTTATTCAGTTTTGTATAACTTCTGTAAGTTCCAAATTTTCATATTTATTATTTTCCTTGTAATTTGAGTATATTTATTTTTCTCATATTTTGACTCCACTTGTTTGTTAAATTATTCTTGTATCTTGTCTTCTTAGTCTTGAAGGAAGCCAACTTTAAAAGAAACTTTAAATATTCATACGTTTTTAATATATTAAATATTTATTCTGTGAAGGATTGAGTTGGTTAATAATAAGGAAATATTAAAAATAGTTAAGTAAATAATATAAAATATACAAATAAAATATTAAATAAATACATTTTTTAAAAATAAATGTAGTCATAGTTAAAACATATTATATTTTTAAATAAATTAAAACTGGCAAGAGAGGATATTTCTGCATCAGGTATATTATTTTTGTAGTATTATAAAGTTGAATCTCTTTACACAGTACAGCGATGGGCCAATGAAGTACTTTAAACAATAATATTCTTTTTAAGCATGAATACATGAACTAAAACAAGTTTATTGATTTGAATGATTGAAGTTTAATAATACAATGTTTTTAATATAATATATTATTATGTAATATATCTTTAGAATTTAATGTTTGTATAAACATATTTAAAAACAGAAGATGTGTTAGTATGAAGTGTTAATATGAAAAACATTGAAAGGTGAGAAAAGCAAAATATAAACATGTAGAAAATTACATAATTCTATAGTAATTAGTGTAAAAATTTTCTGCTTCTTTCTATTTACTTTCTTTCTAGTAATCTACTATCCAATTATTTTTTAAAATACTGTTTCGTTAGTAAGTTATCTATGAATTTGTATTAAAGAATATTGCTATCTTTTTCGGGAATCAAAGCCGGTTCACTCACTTTTTAGTAAATTTTAAAAATTATAAAGTGGGTAGAAATGGATGGGTAGAACTAACACTTTTGGAGAAAAAAATACCAGAATATAAAAAAGTATATATATTTTTCTAGAGATTTAATTCTGTGATGTCTTAGTTATGCAATTAGTGCTTTTGGTTTATTCATTAGTGAGCCTTTGTAATTAGCCAAGAAAAAAAGAAAATTGTACTCAATCTTCGAAGTCTGTGATTTTACTTTTAAAGATATGTAGAGATCGTTTTTACAAAAGTGTTATTTGCTCTTCTCTGTGGTGCTCCACCAATGTCCCCCTAATCAGAGAACACAAGCAAGAGACTTAAATAATTCCAAAATTACAAAAAGAAAGCTAAAAACACGTTCCTAGTAAAAGAGAAGTCTGAAAAACTTTATGCCTTATTAAATTTACCCAAAGCAAATGAATTTATCTGTTTATGAATGAAAATAATTTTATTATTCTGGGACTAGTGTCCCTTTAGAACAAATTATAAATACAGAATATAAATTAACATGTTGGTGTGTCCATAAAATATTTACAAGATGGTTGGTAATAAAATAAAACTACAGATAATGAAAATTATAAAAACATACATAAATATAAAATAAACAGAGAAAAGTAAATTAAATAAATAAAATATCGATAAATCACAAAATAATCAAAGTATCTGAGGGTACTTTGAGAGTCTTACAACTTTGATTTTTAATTGCATTTCATGATCAACCAAATTGAGAATGGAATAGGTGCTTGAAGAGGAGAGATTTGTAAGAGGATACTGACTTTGCATGTTGAATATTCGAGTTAAAGTCGAAGGCTTTAGTTAAAAAGGATTTGTCAAACGCAGCAGTTCAGTGAGGAGGAGGATAGAGATCGGATGTACAGGACCTGGTGCGACAGATTGAATGAAGGATTTGAATTGTAGGATCTGTAGAATACAGGAGGGTCGCCGAGTTCTAATAGCCTGGCATAGGAAGGTAGCAAGGAAATACTGACGGCGGTAGGACAGATAAGGCCACTTCAACTCGGTGTAATATTGGGTAATATGTGTATCTGTTGATATCCGGAAAATAAAGCATATTGGACAATTCATTAGAGTTTAAGTTTGGCTTCGAGTTCTTCTGAGAGTCCACCATATATCATACTGCAATAGTCGAAGTGGGGTAAAATAAGAGATGAAACCAGGATTTATTTCTTTACAATATTCAACAAATATAGAATTCAATACCCTAACTTAGTCACGGGGTACTCGGCGATGGCAAAATGTTGATAGATTTTAAGAAGGATTTAGAAGAAAATATCAAGATAGACCCTATTATCCTTATTGACAATAAAAAAATAAAAATTTAAATATAACTGAGGATTGCTGAGAAAGAATTTAAAATGTATCTGAGATACAGGAAAGGAAATTGAGTAAAAGATGTAAGAGACAAATCTATGAAGCTCGAGATATGAAAAAATAAAATAAATTCAATTATCGAATAAAGTATATCCAAAAAGCGAAAAAAAAATCATCTTGGTCTATTGTGCTTCTTGTAG